GTGAATAGTTCCAGTCACCAACCGGAACTGTAGAAATAGTACTTTAAAAATTTCTATATAAGGAGGCCTCGTCTATATTGTGAGGTACCCTTTCATTTAGCAAGATAAGAGAGATTTAAGAGAGAGAAGCTCTGAGAGAAAAACTTCTTGTAAGCCTTCTTCTTCTTTGAGATCTTTCAATAAAATTTGCTGTTTCAAATTATTTTCCTCTCTTCTCCCTCTTAGCCGGTCCTGTTCGGACTACCGTCGCTCCGGCTTTCTTCTCTTCTCCCTTCACTAGATCTGTGTTGGTTATACCACCGTTCTAGTTTCTTTATGAATTAACTGTTTTACATACTGCACTTTTAATTTCTGCATATCATTTAGTAGTCCTGCTACTGCCTACTTTCCTTTCAGTCTTTTATTCTACATATTTTTGTTGTCCTTGATCCACTTCGGGTTATCTGGTATCAAAGCCTGATGGGGAAGTAGGAATATAACTGTTAATTGTCTGTAACTATGTTCCAGATTTGCTTTCATGGTCCAGAGGCGGCAAAGTCAGATTAGCTCTGACTCTAAATAAACCAAGACCACAATCTGCTTCAGCAGATTCAAAAACCTCTTCTTCTGGGTCATCGACCCCCATTGAGTCATCGACTCAAAAAGCAATCCAAGTTGTTGAGTCATCAACTCAGCAATCTGGAACTCCAAAAGAATCCTCCAAAAAGACTGATTCTGTTGTCAAAACCACCAAACAAACCAAAACAGACTATGCTCTCCCAATTAGTACGCTTTTAGCTATCCAACAAGGAAGCTTGAGTAGCCTACCAAATAAATCCTGGGCAGACATTGCCTCTGAAGAAGATATGGAATTAGATTTAGCAAGCCTAAACACTATAATCCAGACCTTCAACCAAACCCAAAAAACAATAACCAATAAAACAGAAGGGACCCTTGACCTTCAAAAAGGAAAACAAAAAACTTCAAACCCAAGCCATTATGTAGCCAAAGGAAAATTCTCCTCAGTCATACAAATGGAACCTGAATTTTGGGACAAAAACCCATACAAGGCAATTACTAAAGCATTCCCACCAGGATTTCATTTCAGACCATATCAGGCTAATAAAACCAGACAGTTTTATGAGTTTATCTTAGTGGATTCAGATTCTGTTTCTATTAAGCATTACAAGGACCACAAGGATCCGTCAGTTACAACCCATTCAACAATACAAATCCTGAAAGTCTTAACTCCAAAGGCTTTTGGAAAAAATTTAAATTCTTATAAAAAGTTTTCCCAACCATTTGATCCAGTAGGATATAATTATTGGGACTACATTGACGCATGGACAAGAACTTTCTGGTTCCAAAATAAACTTAACCGACATTCTTGGTTAATATATTTTAAAAAGAATCAGGATTATAACTTTCCAAATTGGTTCCTCCAATGGTGGGATTATTTTGGGCCAATAGAAGAAATCCTTCCCACCCCTGTCAAGGAAGGATACAAGATCTACAAAGGCAGATATCTGCGAGAATCAAGAATTCCAGCAGATCTTAAATACTTCTCTGACTTTGCCCTGGCATGGGTATTCTCATGGCAATACAGATATGGCAAGACAGAGAATGAAGACACTCTCCCATATATATATATATATATATATATATATATATAATTGACAAAAATTCAATGAAGATTGCTTCCAGAAATATATAAGACATAATTTAAAAAAAAGGATTTTATTCATACCCTAGATGATCTTACACTAACCAATGAATTTAATTATTTTGTTAAAACTAATTACTAAATTTATTATTTTAATTGTTCTTAATGATTATTTTTACTCTTAAACCATTTACACAATATGAATATTTTGTATAGGCAAAAAAAATGAAATATTTATAAAAAATATTATTTTAAATTTTATATTGACATGTAAATAAATAATAACATTTTTTTCTCTTTTAGGACAAATAAATAAAAGTATAGATACTTTTTTCTCATTGTATTAAATACATCTTTTATTTAATACTTAATTTAATTTTTTAATGTGGATAAAAGGAAATAGAATAAAATTTAATAAAACAATTTTTTATTTAAAATTTTATATTAAATGTTTATAAATGTATTAAAATTATTATAATAAAATATTATTATATATAAATTTTTTTATGTATCTATAAGTATACATTAAAATAATAGGTTTAAAGTCTATTTGTTTTCTTTCTGATTTTTCATAAAGTATTAAAATTATTATAATGTAGTTTTTTTAAAATTATTAATAATTTCAAAACTTTGAATGAATTTGTCCACTTTGGAGAGATCTGTTATGAAAAAAAAAATTAAATAATAAAATAAATAGTTAAATAATACTTTGTTATAAATTGAAAGGTATTAAAAAAATTATAAAAGCATTAAAACTCATATATTAAGTTGACTTAATCAAAGAATGCCATATAACTTATTAGAGAATAAAAGTAAGAAGACAAACTACTCGTGATTAAAGTAAATACTCTTAATTTTTTTTATTACTTATACTTATTATAATTTATATTTTTAATATTTTTTTATAAAATAAATATTAAATAACATAAATGTTCATTTATTATTTTAAAATATAAAATATATTTAATACTATTCATTTAACCATTAAAAAGATTCATAAAAATAACAAAAGTATCTAAATTATTATGTTAAAAATATAAAATATATTTTATTAAATATTTTAAATTGTCATGAAAATATGCGTTGTACATTTTGTATACTTTTTAGATGATAAATATTATTATTTTTAACAAATTATAATTAAATTATTTTAAATATATTCCTAGACACATTAAAAATTAAAAAAATTCAAATAAAAAATTATTTTTTTAACATGTACAATATTTTACTAAATAAAAAGTTATATATAATAAATTTTTAATAAAAATTACAGAATATAATACATTATAATTAAAATTATATTCTGCTGTATTTATCTCTTGTCGCCAAACCCCATTCCGCCCCAAACGTCTTTGGATTGCTGCAATCCATCTTTGTTGCGTTACTTTCGATATATATATATATATATATATATATATAAGTTGTAACTTGTATCATTTAATGAAAAATAAGTTTGTAGACTGTGAAAAAAGTAAAAATTCTTGACCTCGATGATCTCATTTAAAGGATCACATTGCTTCGTAACTGTTAAAACTTAGTATGATATTGTCTGTTTTTTTTATGCTGTTTGGTTTATCTACTGCATCAAAGATCTAAACAATGAAATCAGCCCTCTCTGACTGTTACTAACTACAATGAGCTGACATTCATCTTTCCTAAGTTTATGCCAAATCTTGCTACAAGATATTTGTTTGTTCAGGGTTTAAATACTTGCAATGAAGGAGTTAATGTTTCAGGGCTTTTTCTTATTCTTGTCTCTCCTTAAACCAGTAGTTTTAACAGAGGATGCTAAATAAGATAGTTTCGTTGACTAACTTTATATAATGTGTTTTTTGTCCTTCCACGATTTAGCCAAAACTTAGAATCAAGTGATACCCTGTTTGCTATCAAGTGAAAAACCATCAATGTCAAAGATGTTTAGGGGAGTGAAGGATACCTGGTCTTTAGGCTGGGGCATGTCACAAGCCTTGGTTAGGGGCTAAGTGGTTCTAAAAGGTTACATGCCAAGGGAGATTGCTAATAGCTGAGAATCTGATGATGGTTTAATAAATCCAAGAATGATCTCTTTACTAGATTTTATAACAAGCCTATTTGAGTTTTTGAAAACATGGAAGAGCTCTCTGTCATCAAGCAATTTTATTATTTGGAAGGAGAGATGATATTGTTTAACATATTAGTGACGCTATTGAACAATATAGTGTCCATAGTCTGGATAAAGATACACACTACCACAGTACCACGGACGAAGGCACACTCATAACGGGTGATAGATACTAAAGGGGTGGCATAAAAGTCCCTTTTTTTACCCTAGTAATTTTCTCTGCATTTGGACTATTATTGATTTCTGTTGAAACTTTCTTTGATCTGTGTTATTTGATAGCCATAGAGTATTAAAATGTTGAAGTCTAGTAGGATTTTAGTAATCTTTATTAATTATTAATTATATTATATTTTGTAGAAACTTTTATAAAATATTTATTATTATTTTTTAACTTAGTTTCAATAAACAAAAAGAAATATAATGATAAAAGTTTAAATTAAAACATAAAAATCAATATGAATATTAAATAATGATAAAAATATAATGTTATAATATTTAAAAATTTTAAAAACATAAATTTAAATATAAAAATAATAGTAATAATTAATTAAAAATAATTTTTATATTTTTATATCTTTAATATAATAATTAAATTTTAAAAAATAAAATTAAAGTTAACAAAAAAATAATAGTCATACAAAATAGCAAAAAGGTCTAACAAATAAAAAATGTAGTAGTGTCTTTATACACCATATGAATTTAGATGAATAAAAAAAAAAACAATTTTAAAAAGTAGATTAAAAATATTAAATTGATTATAAAAATATGTTAAATTAAAAAATCAGTTTAATAAAATCAATCTACCATTTGCCATGGACTGGACTTTCGTAACAGAATTTTTTGTTCAGCCCTAAATCGGACCACTTCATTTGGTCAGTTAAACATTTTGTTTTGCAGAAATATTTTCCCTAGCAGTCATTCTGGAGAATGAACCAACAGGATCAAGGATCAGGCTCTACATCAAATGTTCCAGTGAAACGCAAACGTGGTCGACCACGAAAACTAGCAAATGTAGTTCAGGTTCCGCTGGAGAATGTGCCTGCATTGCCTGCTCCTGACAATGTGTTGAACTCCAATCAAACAGCAGGCACAACTGACGAAATGCTGGGGAAGTTAGTAACTGGTGTCATTGACGGCACTTGGAAAGATGGATATCTTCTTAATGTTAAGGTGAACGACACTGATACTTGTTTTAGAGGCCTTGCGTTTCTACCAGGCAAAACTGCTCCAATTACTCCAGAAAATGACGTGGCTCCAGATATTCAAATGATCCAAAGGAAGGAGATTCCAATTCCAGCTCTTAATCCACAGGTTGGGATACATGGTCCTGTTCCCTCAACAGTACAATGCAGCAAGCAATCTTTTGGGCCAGAATTACAGGTGCCCATTTCCGTATCCACTGGAGGAATTCCTCAAGGGACATTAGATCCTGGACATGTGAATCAATCTGCGTGTATTGCATCAGAGTTAAAGCACGGAAAAACTGTCAAACAAGGTGAAACATTGCATCAACTTGATGCCTACACACAGGTAAAAGAATCCAGTGCTGATGGAGGAATAACGAAAGAGTCTGAACCAGCATCTGAACCCATCGATGTAGATCCAATTCCAACAATTGAAAACACTGATAAGGAGCTTGGAATTGGCCAGCAGGCTGTGCCTCATTTGCATCAACTGAATGAGGTTGTGATTCATGGTGAACCAAATACATCAAATATTGAACTCAACCTGACCCCTCGTTCGGCTGAACCCGAAGCGGGGCCTTCTGGGCAGACTAGTAAACCTGTTCACAACGTTGTGGAGATGCAGGACTTGCCCAAAACTGATTTGCTAGATGATACAGAAACTAAGCATGCTATTGAGACTTCAAGAAAAGTTGATACCTCAAACTCAGATGGAAGGCCAAGTAGTGATTTTGCTAATATTCCTGATGTGGGATCAAACCTTGCAAGTGGGACCAGCCAACCTGGATCCATGCCATCTGAACAGATTGGTGAACCTGTTCCTTCCGAGTCCACGCTCACACCATCTGAAGAATGTGATTTGCAGGACAAGAGTGATCTCCAGAACAGTAGCACCTCTGGTGCCTACTACTGAATCTTTACCTAGTTCAAAGGAATTTGAGAAACAGATTGAATCGGGCACTTGAAAATTTTAGTTGGAAAAGATTGGATCTTAGGCTGGGGAATAAACCAAACCTATACGGTAGACATTCAGATTTTTAGTTTCAAGTAATACGTCTGTTTTGCTGTTTCTTCTTGAATAAATGGCTTTCTTTTCAAAATAGTCTTTGCATTTGTATGATAAACTTGTGTATTTTAATCTTACCTGTGATACCAGAATACATGGTAATGGGGGATTATTGATGGAGATAAGTGATATATATGCAGGCTATTTGTTATTAATTTAATATCGTTACTGTGCTCTTGATTTATGAACTAGAAAATATAACTAGTTGCTGGTTGGCCATGTTTGTTAGAAAGCTACCTATTGTCCAAAATGAAAACAGATACAACTCCATAAAACGATCCTGCTAAATATATCTTGCACTTAGAAGAGCAAAAAACAATATACGTTTATTAAAAATATTTGTTATTGCGCACAACATCGTTTCAAGTATTCATGGTTATTTCAATAGTTGCAGAAATTCGAGTCAATGATTTCACTCGTCACTGTTTTACTGTTTAAATGGTACTAAAAAAAAATTTGAAATTTATTTTTACTTGGAGTCAATGTTTCTTTTTAGGAAGGTTTTACAAAATATTACTAGATGTACAAGAGATCCTCAAGTCTATACTATCAATCCCTTGTAAACGAGAATTACATGGCATGTCCGGGTTCTCTTTGTGATCATACACCTGAACAGCCATTCATGTGCCAAGTGTGCCTAGAACCGATGATATTTTCATAAAGCTAGGACAAGATCTTCACTTTTCGAGGATGCTATTCTTTTCTTTCTAAAAAATAACGTGTAAAACACAAAATAAGAATGGCAAACATCGCGTCTTGATAGCACACCACCCCAGTGGCACTCAAATTGACTACTATGAGGTAGCTTGAGGATAAACACCAAAATTATACATAACACAATTATTACAAGATATCGGATGTGGATCGGTTCGTCAAAAATATATAAACATCAAGGTATTCAGCAAGCGATTTTTTAAGGTTACAAAATAAAGTTGCATAGAATATTAATGTTAATAGCAATCATAAGTAACTAAAAAGAGTACCATAAAAAAAGGTGCAAAGTTTGTTTTCCACGAGACAAGAAAAAGCAGCAACCAAAGCAAGTACCATAGATAGGATTACAGAAGAAAACGGAAAAATTGGGAGCTTCTTAGCTATATCCTATTTGCTGCTGTTGCTGTGGAGGTTGGTAATTGGCATAGCCAGGATAACTGCCATACATATTGGGGTCCTGTCCAGTAGGAGCATAACCATAATTTTCATAACCCTGAGCATATCCATAATATCCACTACCATTCCACTGGTTTGGATCTGGTTGAGCCTGAAAATCATCCAAGAAATCCAAATTAATTGATTAAAACCAGTAACACGTTACAGCTAACGAAGCTCAGAATTACACAAATTCAATTACCTGTTTGTTTGATGGACTTCGGCCCCATGAAAGCCGAACATTTTGTCCACCTAAAAGTGTGCCATTTAAAACCCGCAGTGCCTCTTCTGCACAGCTCCTGGTGCATGCAGGAACATGAAAGTGACTCGTCAGAATTGGAGCAATTGCATGTAGACCACGAAGTAATTCAACACAAGATAAATATCAGATATCCAACCAAATGATTATATTACCTATCGGCAAATTGGACAAATCCACATCTCTTGCCAGCTGGAATCTTCACATGAACTAATTCTCCATACTGCCCAAAAACTTGTCTCAAATGGTCATCTGTGACATTAGGATCCAAATTGCCAACAAAAATCTGCAATAAAAAAAATCAGGTTACAGACAGGAACCAAGAATAGTAGTTTCTACATTGCAAAGAAGTACGCACAGTGGTATTATTTGGATCATTCTCGTTTTGTGCCCCTTGAGGATTCTGATACGATGCTGCATGTTCAAAGTAAAAGTAAAAAGATGGATGAAATTAAACAAGGAAAGAAGCATTTCATAGAAAAGGACACCAAACACAGAAACTGGCAAAATATACAAACTAAGTTTTCAAAGATAAAAGGCAGCTTATTTCTTAGGCACAACTTTTCAGCAAATATGTTCATTAGCAGGAAACTTTTTAAGTATCCAAACTCAGCTCCAGATGATCCATTATAAAAGCATGCAAACATAGAACAAACAAATTGCAGCTGCCTTACACGCACAATAAACTAGCACATACGAAAAGTTGGAACACTTCACTATTAGAAATGAAGTCATAACACATATAAGTACAAAATCAACACCACATTAAATTAGCAAGTGCACATATAGATAAACCAAAGCAGTAACATGCTCTGTCTTACGCCATATATATTCAACTGAGAACACTATTCACCAATATAAATGAAATCATACTATAAAATTAAACCATGAAATCAGGTAATTCCAAAAGAAAATTCAACAGAAATAGTTGTCACACACGCAAGGCCAGACTATTTGGCATTATTGGAATTTGGAAACAAATAAAATGGCATGAAGAAGTGAATGTGGGTGTGAGAGAGAGAGTATGTACCCTCTTTATATCTTACTTCTTATAAACTTCCTAGTTTTAAAGAAAGATACACATCAGTTTGCTGAGATTAAAATAAGAATGAACCAGGAAGCTGTCAAATACTTGCTGCAGGTGATTGAAAGCTTCACAAAACATCTTGGCATTTTGATAGATTAGTCTGCCCAAAGGATAAAGCATAGTCTTTCCAAAGGATAAAGCAATATAAAGTAAACTACAATTTCATCGCATAGTATTTTGGTGTGAGAAATTTAGAAAGGTAGAAGGAGGCAGACCTTTGCATCATGACTAAAAATGACACAATAACACAACCATCTGTCAGAGTGCAGTTTCTACAAAATGCAAGCACTACACACTGCTATACCAAATCTTATACCTCATGGACTAGAGATTGGAAACTTGAATTAATAAGCAACAGATAGATGAATAAAAGAAAGTAAAAACAAAACAAGATTTGTTTTAGAACAAGGGAAAACTAAAAAAAGAAACTCAAAGATGTAGTCTTCAATAATCTCATCGGTGCAAGGATAAAGAACGGGGAATAATATAAGTAATTAGATTATAGGAAATTTGTGCTATGAAATTTGGCTTAAAAAAGCCAACCAACAAATGAAATGAAAATAAAAAATAAGTAATTAGAGGCGGAAAAGAAAATGCCACAAAAAGTAATGGGCAATACATAAACGGATAACTGACCTACACAAGGCCATGGACTAAAATGGTAACCATTTCAGCTGAAATCAGTTCCAGGCTCCGAGATGACAGAGCCTCTTGACACCCTGCTTTGAGACAACAGGAGTTCTATAAGATTTTATTAATTAATATCATTTACTTAGCCCAAATTTTTAAAGGAAATTACAGGAAGAAATGAGTTTGGACTGCACATCTTCAAGAGTGTAACGGAAGAGAATCGTAAATTAAACGGTAACATTCAGGATACGCGCACCAAGGACAACTAGACACATAAAGCATTAAATACAACCACCATTAATGTATCATTATTGGAACAAGAGTAGGCATCAAAAGGAAAACAGGACAAATTTTCTTTATGCAGCATATAACTACGGAAAAAGACAAACCTTTTGACTGAGTGCTAGGGTTTTTATTAGAGGCAGGTCCAATACGCATGGGCCTCGTTGAACAGAGAACCCCTTGCATTTCGGTCATAGCTCTTACTTGTTCACTCTCATCTCCAAACCTAACAAATCCATAACCTTTTGTCCGGCCGGTGAGCCTATCAATCACAACTTTGGCCCCCTTAACAGAGGGAAACCGAGCTCGAAATGTCTCTTGCAGATGATAATCTGTAACATCAGCCGCCAGGTCTCCAACAAATATTGTGTAATCTGGGCTGTCATCGTGACGCCTCTCGCCCGCACTAAATGTTGCCCAGTTCAATCTGAAGTTCTGCCCGCCATTTGGCATAATGGTGCCATTATATGTCTGAAGTATTCTCTCAGCCCCAGCACGACTAGTAAACTCAATAAAACCATAACCTTCGGATTGACTGGTTTGCTTATTCCGAATGACTTTCACAGAGGCCACCTGCAGGCAAACAACGCACTTCCATGAGAAACTAATAATTTGAATGACTTGAACAACCAGCATGCTTGTAAACATCAGTTTTACTTTATCACCAACACGCTGACAATCATATAATAACAATTCACCAGAATCAGTCATATTCTCCTCCGAAAAGGGAATTAGGCCATTTGCAAAATTTCAGATTCATAAAATTACTGAGATTGCCCACAGAACACAAATCTTGATTAAAGGGACCACAACTTCACATCTAAGAGAGGGAAAAAAAAACAGAATATCTGTTCTCGTTCACAAATTTCTCGCTTGAACTAACATCCTCACGCACAAAAGAAAGGATTCTTAAATCTAAAACCATGTCAAAGTAATTTCGAGTCCAAATCTAACTTTGGATTAAAAAAAAATACAGAAAAGCGTCAAGATTACTAATCATAGGAAAAAGAAAAGCGGAAATACCTCGCCGGTGTGGGCGAAACAGGTGTAGAGATAATTTTCGTCCATCCAGTACTGCAAATCGCCGATCCAGAGGGTGCGGACCTCATCGGCGCTGGTGGGTTGCTGAGGAGCCACCGATTGAGGCGGAGGTTGAGCCAATGGGGCCCACATGGGAGGGGGCTGCGGCTGCGGCGGCATCATCATGTAGGGTGGTTGTTGTTGCTGCTGCTGCTGTTGTGGGTATTGCTGGTTGGGTTGTTGAGCCATGCTTGGTGGAGCCATGCCAGGTCCAGGTTGCATCATCTTTGCTCAATCTCAAATTCCACAAATTCACAGAGAAGAAGAAGAAGAGAGAGAGAGAGAGAGGGACAAATAGAAGGAAGAGAATGTGAGACTCCGCTTAAAAGAGTGGTTCAGACTCAAACCCTAACCGCGAGGCGTGTTTTTCTTTTCTCTCTTGCCACTGATATTTACCTTTTCTCTTACTCAACTTTTTTTTAAAAAAGGAAATTCATCTTTTACTCGAGCAAATATTATAAACCAGCGATTATCTTATAATATTTGGGCGATTATCAAATTAAAATAATTTTTTTATCTACATAATATATTATATCGTTATCTTTAAGTTTCATGACTTAAAGTGTTCTCGTTCTATAAAATCTCAAAATTAATATATAAGATAGTTTTTTCTTTAAAAAAAAACTTTGGTATAACCTATTCTAATTTTAAAAATAAGTAGATAAAAATATTTCATAGAATTGGTATTGATTATGACATTAGTTATTAATGCCTTCAATTGTGAATTAAAGACCATGTTTTCATTGGTCATTAATTTGAAGACTTTTCTTTTTTGTAATTGACTTTTTTTTCCCCTTGAAACTTGTTAAAATTAAGAAAAATAATATTCTAAAGCTTAATCTTTTAATAAAAATAATACCAATTAATAAAATATAAAAAAGTTTTATAAAATAACGAACTCTTTTGAAGAAAAAGGAAATTATTTTTATATAATTAAAAATAAAATAAAATTTATTATTTCTTTTGATTTAGGAGTAGTTATATATATATATATATATAATATCAAATATGAAATTAGTATTGTTGTTATAATAATAATAATAATAATAATAATAATAGTTGAATGATCTATTGTGATAACAAAAAAAAACTTAATTTATTTTGAAATTGAAGTAAAGATATTTTAAAATCTGAATTTGAATAATATAAATTTATCTGCATTTTAACTGTTTCTTGATATTTATATTTAAACTTAAATATATTTTTATGAGAACATGGCAGGTGGCAATTAACACACAGCAGATACTATTTTTCAAAACAATAAAAAAGACAAAATCATTCCTCTATTTACCATTTAAGTTTTGATTTTCTTACATCTTTCTTTTAAATCTACTTTTTTTCCCCTTTGTATCTCTGTTTTCACGACACTCATTGCAAATCCTTCGTAGAAAACTATATAACTGTAGAACAACAGAGAACATCAAGAAGCTTTCTGCAAATAGGAAATTGCCAAATTCTTACTTTCAAACTAAATGATTAATTGTACAATGAGTCACACAAAAAATTAATCATGAACCATCAACAAAGCTCATTCCTAATTCCACGAGATGAGGACGGAAGTAAATAGAAGCGAACCAACCTTGCATACATTCTACAATTGCACATAGCATTACAACTTGATTCTTAAAAAAAATTCAGGCACTTGTTATCAGCTTCAGAATCTCAGCGGCCTCCTTCAATCTTCTCTCTCTGTTTTCTTTGATAACCGGACTAGGAGCCCTAGGATTTCTGCATTACCGCAAAACAATCAATATAAAAACAAACCCATTGCTAGAGATCTTTTTGTCAACGAACTTAACATTTTAAAATAATTCCACTAGCCAAACAAAGTCTGACCTTTTCTCGTAAATTCCCTTTCTTTTAAGCTCTTCAACAAGACCGTGTAGTCGTTTTAGAAGGGCAGGGGACCTGAGTATCGTCTCCACGCCTATACTTGTGGAACACATCATCTTCAAAAGTTCAGAAGCAATGAAATAGCCCTCATTTTTATTCCTGGAAGAAGTAATCAAAGTGAAGACTTAGAATCATAAATCAACTTTCAAAGGCATTGAGCATTGAAACGACCTCAGTAACTCCAAGACGATTATCTGAACGGAACCGTGATTATGGATAAGCACTTCTAGAAGATGAGGATAGCAGGCGAGATTTCGGAGAGTTGACAACGCATGCTTTAGAACCTCCTGATCAGGTATACTCCGGCTGACTGTTTGAATAAGCCTCAGCAAGGTGTCGATGGCCCCTGCAGCCACAAGTTCTTCACAGCATTTCTGAGAATGTCCTGTAGCCATATCTGTGAAAACACACACAACAGATGAAAAAATAAAGAATAAGATCACTTGCCAGGACAAAGTGAAACGAGAATCATTCAATGTTAAAATTAGAATTTAGAGCATATGGTTGAAGAAACTAAACTGCATGTTTGAAAAGCCACTTAAAGATTTCCAATTCTAGCAACAAAATCCAAATAAAGAAATGTATCTCTCACCCAATGTTGAACAAGTGTGAAGGATGTTACTAAGACTCTTCATATTAAGCAGCTCTGAAAGCGCTGCCAAGAGTCTGTTTATGAGACGCTTGCTGTCATCCACGTTTCTGGCAGACTTTTGCATTCTCAAGCGCAAATCCAATAAATGTTCTTTTGGCTCTTTGCGTGCAAGGTAACCTTTCCAGTGGGACTACAAAAGAAGGCATATCGTTTACAAATGTTTTAATTATACCATAAAAAAAAAAGCACAATATATAACAATATAGCACATTCAAACAAAATGCAAAAGAAGTTAAGAACTAAAGCGTAGTATATTATGATGTATTGATAAAAATGAAAATACTATACTTGAATGATAATAATACGATATCTTTGCTCAGTGGCCTTTCGCCTGGCTATCCACCCACGAGTATGAGACTGAATAGCAATGGCAGACTTTGTCATCAATTTCTGTAACAAGACACCTTTCCACCATCGTTGCAATTTTACAACAGAAAACAAAAATAGTTCCAGTTGCGAACTACAATAGGCAACTGGTCTTGAAATGTGACCTACATCTTGAAATGCACGTAGCTTAGAAGTACCGCCTACATCAGAATAACAATAGATAATAGTATAAAACACTCATAAAATACGCATATACTGTCCTAATGAGGCGAGACGAAGTATAAAACACTCATAAAATACGAGCTAAATACCTGATATCCGATTTCGAATTAAATGCCCTCTAATAAAGCGTTGAATTTCCAGCGCGGCATCTCCCTGCCAATTAAGAGCCGTTAGTAACAACATATAGCAACAACAAAAAAAAAATGAAAATTGAGCTATAGGTACATCTTTGGTTCTCTGATTATAAAACCCCAGGCGGACAAACGTTTGCATCTTATAATTTTTGTCTAAATAGTCCTCAAGAAACCAAACTTGTTATTAGGCTTAGTTCACAGAAATTCTTTAATAATTATCGTATCTGCTTCTGCTAAAATTGCCCCAGAAATTACAATATTTTTAAATAGCCAGCTCAAAATACCCTAACCATGGGAACATCAACGTCAAACGGAATGCAAAAGTGCTACACCACAGTAGATCCTAAAAACAATTTAGATAAACGTACACGGATGGCAACATGGCGTCTGTAAAGAGTGGCCTTTCGCCTGGCTATCCACCCACGAGTACATGACAGAATAATGATGGCTGATTTATTCATTAATTTAAGCAACAGCAAACCCTTCCACCATCGTTGCAATTTCACAACTGAAAACAAGAATAGTTCCAGTTGAAAACTGCAAAAGCCACCTGGTCTTGAACTGCAACTGACAGGAGTAAGCGTGCGTGACTTGGAAGCACAACCTACATCACCAAAACATGAGATAATAGTATTGATGAGAAAATTATGACAGAACAACTAAAGCAAGAAAAACTTAGCTTCGTAAAATGCACTAACAACCTAATAGCCGATTCCGTGTTAAATGACCCCTGATAAAGCGCTGCATCTCCAAAGCAGCATCTTTCTCACATTTGAGAACCTTCTGGCATTTCAAGCTTCGAATGATACACTGGATCTTTACTACGGCATCTCTTTGGAACAAAAAGTCACGTTTCAGGAGCCAACCACGGCAATGCCTCTGAAACCATTAAAGCAAAGTAACAAGTTACATAATACTGCACAACTAAAGCTTCCAAAAATGCAAGGACAATCCAAAATTGAGAAAAATCACACTCCAATAGGAACTAATAATTTCACAGTGGAAACAAAATATTGAATACAAGGCATTCCAAAAATGGCCCTGCCTTGTGCAATTAACATATGCACATGACAATTATGTTACCGAAAGAAACAAGACCACAATAACTCACTAATTTCTTTGTGACATACTGGAAAATCATGCAAAATAAATGGAAAAAAAATGATTGTAAAACGTAAGCCATTGTCTTACTTGAATTTCTACGATGTGATTTCTATGTGCACAAGCATCCTTCCGTGCAATCCATCCTCGTAAAGAAGATTGAATGACAATAGCTGCCTTAAACTCAATTTTGAAGTGCTGAAAAGCATTTACACATCTCCACATTCGAAAATAAGATTGAATTTTTATGACAGCTTGAGTCTGATTTAAAAAACTTTTTCTCAACAGCCACCTACGGAAGCTTCGTTGAATTTTAGTTGCATGGAAGTGCTGCTTCTGAGTAGACTCAAAGCATAAGAACTTTTTCCAAGCAAGCTGAATGATAATGGCTGCATTTGTTTGAAGATCAAAATTAACTTTCTGCTGGGCTAAATTTAAAGTTTTGTCTTTCTGATCAAGCTGATGAATATATCTAGATCGTGCCATCCAACCACGAACAAATTTCTGTACAGTAATAGCAGCTACCCCCATATCTGATATCAAAAGATCAGGACTTAACCGACATTGTTGCTGATGCCTCCAATAGAGCCAACCCCTCACTGCTTGCTGGATAAGCTGTGCTGACCTCTTCAATTTCAAAAAGGAATGCCTATGAATGAAAAGCATGGCATATCTCTTATATGTTTCTGGTTGCTCCAATGTTTCTGTGTGATTGAATAAGCAACACATGCCCATAATTAATGAAACATACAACATATAAATGTTTGAGACAAACTGATAATTTGCATACCACATGAGAAGCTGTAAACTTGAACGGTTGGGAATATACTGCACATTGACTCTTTCCTCACTTTTAGCCAAGCTCTCAAAACAGTTTGCAAAAGGGTAGCAGCTTTTACCATCTTCACAAACTTGCGCCGTACAACCAATCCTCTGATATGCAGTTGTATTGTTCTTGCAGCATTTTCTGAGAGTGTGAAGTACTGGTCATCTACAAGAAAACGAACAATATCGAGTGGAACACAATCAAACTGCACACTTGTCTTCCTAAGCAATGTTCTAGGAAGAAAAAAGTGCAAAGACTGATTTTATGACAACATCAAAGAACTCTGGCCTGCTTCAATTCTCTTGCAATTACCCTCTCAATCCCATTGTAAATAATTATGAGTTCAGAATTGGTGAGAGTTGAACTAAGCACTGGTTTTTATTTTCACTTGTGTGTAATTTCAGCAACAATCAGAAATAGTAATTTTTTTTTTCATAGCTGTGGTAAATGTATGTAAGGTGAACAGTACCAAAAAGGACTATGCAAGTCTTCTAAGTTACCTCTTCTAATGTTGGTGTTGCATTCAGTGCTCCTGGATCTCTGTAAACTAGAGATAACTGGTTTGATGATATGGTTTCGTTCAGCCATATCTTGCCACCAAGCTTGGATGGCCTTGAATTTTCTAGCAGCATCTATCTTAATAAATAACAACAATTTGATCAAAGATTTTTATGGAAGGAAGAAATCAAATTAATTATTTGTTTCATGAATAAGATCACAGCATTGTTATAATTAATCTGATATGTTTTGTATTAGGACACTAACGTAGAAAATATTTAAATAGAACATGTGAAGTGGCATGCTGTTATCTACTCAGAGCCAACTATCATGCAGTGAAAGAACTTCAAATTGACTAGAATTATTTCCAGGACAAATCTTTGTACAAGAAGATCATATATTTCAAAGACAAAGCCCAACCTTACTACTACTATTTAAAAAAAAAGAAAGAATTATTCTCAGTTTTATTCATGATACTAGTAGTCATAGAAATCCAACTGATAAAATCAGAAAACTATCCCATAAGTAGATATAAACGAATGGCATGCATAAATAATTAAAGTTCACACAACTAGGAAGTCAACAAACCTTCATTGCCATGCACATCTGAAGCATCAGGATTTTGTGCTGCTTCAGAACTTGAAATGCATTGTACCATCCTCAAATGTCTACGGTTTGGACTTTGGCAATCATAACCCAAGAGCTTATGAAAATTTAAGTGATCCTGAAAAGGAATAAAAGAGAGGTATTATAACTTAAATTCCATAGTACGACAGTAACTGGATGTGATCATTATCCTTGTTCTGTTTACCACATTTTTCTTGACAAATAATTGGCTAGCTAGGAAAACCAACAGTATCACCACACTTCGATCATTGCAAGCACCATTATATTGAAGTAGCTCACTTATTTGAAGTACCTGAAAAAATACCCTAATTCCATTATACTACCGATGGTATCAAGGGAGAATGAGATAATGCACATGTATAATTCTTTTTTATTCTCGGACTACATACGACTGTGATAATTGGGCAATTTTGACACAATTTTGAATACCTGTAGAATATTTCAACATTGCAATGAATTCAAACATGTATATACGTATCTCTCATGCAAGTATTAATGCATTATTACATACATACATTTAGCATATGTGAATGCACACTCAACTAGGAAAATGACCATTCTTTTCCTTAATCAGCACAAAGTTTGATATTTCCCACACGAATGCTTAGAATCAAATTTTAGTACATATTTTTGTGCAGCTTGAGCAGTCCAGGTTTAATCCTATTAGATTTTTTGCACAATTGTTAGATGTACAAATAACAATATTTGTCTCACAGATTCACACAAAAGGAATTATTTACAAGTCTCAACTTTAATTAGTTCAGATCTGAGGCAAGTCCATTAGATATAAAAAGTTCGTATACATTTCTATCAATGCTTTCAATATAAGTGATGTGACATTGTCTTAAAATAATGCCAGCATGCATGCAAGTAGATATTTACAGAAATTAGGGTATTTACCTCTGGAAAGTTCCCCAGTAATGTAGTCAACTTCTGGGATAATATAAAATTATAAAGTGCATCTGAATATTCATTGACTGACATAATTGATGCCTTGCCACTTTTCTGATAAACTTCCTGTAAAAAGATGAAGAACAAAGCTTATGAACAATAAGTTATTGTCAGCAGTCAGCAGGAAATTAAAGAAGTTAAAGACCTTCATTGAACAGGAATTATGAAGTTCCTTCTGGAAGTAGTAATCAAGTAAGCACCAGATAGCTTTGCCATCAACAAGGGAATGAAAATTGTCAATAGCACAATTATAATTGTCACAAACAGCCTGCAAAAAAAAGGAACAACTAGGTTAAAATGCAGACAACATCAGGACTTTTTTTAACTATATACCACCATATCAAAAATTACAGATTCCGAAGCTCAAGCCAAAGCATAAAACTAAAGCTGAAACAAATGTAGCCGATCAACCAGCATAAAACAACCAACTACTTATGGAATTGTACGCTACCTCTTTGTATGAAACTACGACACAAAAGAAGTAAAATCTCTAGGAAGATTACTGTGATTTTATGAGAGTATACTAGGACTGTACCTGAATCCAATTCAAAAGCAACTCCAGAGAACTAGAGTTTGTACTGTTTATGAGATCCTGTTAGACGGAAGAAAAATCAAAGCTCAAGTACAATAAAAGACATGAAGCTTGAACCAAAAAAAAAAAAAGCAAACAAGAAGGGCATATATTCTTTTATAACTAAAATGAACCAGAAAACTCATCTAACGTGGAGCATACCATGCCCGGTCCGTGAATTTTTGAAATCTCCCCAACTAAACTTGTTTTATCAACCAAAAGAGGTAGCTGCAGGTCCAATGGTATAAGAAATTATATTGCTGTTATAACTTATAAGTTAACACCAATAAAATCCAAAGGCAATAATAGCAAAGAAACTTAAACAAGGTAAAATAGAGCTGCCACCTGTAAATGAACAAACATATTCCAGAGCAAGGAAAGCGTAAGTTCTTTATCTCCATTAACAATATCATCTGTCACAATCATGATGCCATCTTCGTCAACTAGTGATACACCAGCTTGCCTGAGATATTGTAGGGCAAGACCACAGTTGGCAAGTTTTTTCTTAGGAGCATCAGAGGGAACTATGATTTTCTGTCCACACAATGAGGATGCATCATAATTCTTAACCAATTGGATTGTCTGGAAAAATATATAACTAACCATAAGGATCGAAGAATTATTCTGCAAGAGCTGAATAGCTCTACACAGTTTGAGTCCATCTTGAAGATCTACAAATAAATCTCTAACCCTGAAATCATACTCAACAAGAAGTCCCTACAAAGTGACAAATCAGTCAGATTAAACATATCTTGAACTTGTACAATACCCATCTTCACAAATTTATTAGGGCATAAACATTAAAGTGAAACAGATAGTATTGCTATAAAATGCACCAAGATCCCCAAAAAAATGATGTTGCCCACATCCACCTGCAAGCTGACGCTTAGTCCCACTAACGGACAACCTCATACGAGTAAGCATAGCTAGTTGAAGGAATAACGGACCTGTTGGTGAGATAATTTGTAACCTAAAATCACCAAATGTGCTAGAAGATTTCCTTCTCCATGCATCACATCAGACGATAGAAATTCTAATTTCCAACCAAAAAGAGAGAAAAGTCAACCTACAATGTAGAAGCTTCTGTTACAAATATATCAACATCTCAAACATCAACGAAGACATACCATGGATCAGTTGACTACTTGATTTAATCCAGGATTCAGCTTTGAATAATAAAGGGGAACCCCCGTCTAATCCATCAATACCATACTCGAGTGGGAGGTAACTCTGGCATTTAGCTTTATCAAGGATAAGCACAAGCAACAAAACCTTCTTCAAAATCACATTCCCCAAATTCTCATAGTAACCTGACCTATAGACTCCTTCAACCATCTTGTTATAAGCATATGCTTTTGCTAATCCCTCATGCGAAAAAAACAGCTTCTCAATGACCATTTTCAAGAATACAGCATCTTGATCAGAATCAATATCACAATTTAACACCAAGCAGTCACCCCCAAAAATTATGTATAATCCAATCCGCAGCCAAATTGAATTATAACACATGAGAATCCTAGTGGCCTTATCCTTCAACCCAACATCGGTTACTACAGGGCAGTGTGCCTTCATATTTAGCCTTCCGTCGTCAATCGTCTATGAAACACAGCAAAGGAAATGAACACAAAATTCAACTCCATTAATCAGCCTACGGTAATGTGATGGAAAACAAACCTTGGTGACGTGATTCATCACTTGGAAGATCTCTTTACAAGTTGTGAGACTGAGATAAACCCTCATTCGCTGCTTCAAATCGTCGAAACTGCAGACATCCTTCAGAGAATCCCTCAAGTACGAAAACGAGGAATCAGGCAACTGCGTCTCGGAATTTTCCTTACCGGCGCGTGAAGAGGACCACGTCTTCCTCTGTCGCTTGGGAGTTCGCCACGTGGAATCGACTCCGATGGAGATTCCCGGAGCGCCATCTCTCTTACCGCGGGTGGCGGGAGTGGGATCGGCCACGTGTAGTCCGGCGATGGAGAAGTCGCAGCCGCAGGAGGCGGGGTTTTGGAGCAAGAAGTTGAGCCAAACGGAGAGGGACTTCGCTAGGGATTTGAGGGAGTGTTCCTTTCTGATTTGGGCCTTTCTAGAGGATTGGGACCGCTCCAATTGGAAGGCCTTGAGTTTTTTGGCGGCGGTAGAAGACTTCTTGGCGCGGCGGTGGAATGAGGAGGCGGGTTTGGAAGCGGTGAAGAATTGGGTGGAAGGAGATTGGGCGGTGAGGGAGGGAGGGGGGCGTCTGGGGGTTGTGAAGTTGGAGATGTCTTTGAGAAGTGAAGAAGAATGGGAATAGGGATAGGGAGAGGGACAAGGAGGTTCGTCACAATCCATTGCTTTGTTGTCGGACAATGGGGAGGGGAAGCAGGAAGTGAAGGAGAGAGAAAGAGGAGAGTAGACTATACTGTTCCGATTCCGACTGTGTTTTTGAATTTCGAATTTCAAATCTTCTGACCGTTTGTTTTCGCCCCAAAACACTCTTCTGCTATACGCTATAGTCTATTTGAGCGGATAGAATCCATTTATTTTTCCAGGTGAGATGATATTAAAATTAATATTTATCTTTGAAAAGTTATTAGTAAGTGTGATCTTTTGCACGGATTCGTAAATTTAGATAAACTTTCAAATTTATAAATTAAATGAAAATATACATAATTTATTTAAATCAATAACATGTAAATGTTTTTAGAATATTAAGAAAAAGTATTTTTAGCAATAACTTATTTTGGGTAGAAGTATTTTGATTTTTTAGAATAAATTTTAAAATTTTTACCTTTATTCATTTTTAATGCAATCGTTTGTAAAGTGATGTACTCGCTTTTATTTAAATAGTTAAAAGTAATTTAGTTAATTTATTATAGTTGTAATAAAATACACTCAATAGCGTAAGTTTTAAAAAAAATAGATATAAAATAGAGCACAATTTCCTCCCTTTTATTTCTCTTTCCTTCTTTTTCGATGGCCCTTTCTTCTTTTGTCTTTTTTTTTCATTATTCTCTTTGAACTTCTGTTATTTTGTTTTAATTCTTTTCTTTTCTTTTTTTCAGATTTTAGAGAAACATTCACAATTTATTTATTTATTTCACATAAATAAATTTAGATTTCTGGAATTTGAATAACTTTTTATTATTTATTCGCTCATTCTCTCTCCTAAATTTGTATGAATAATTCTTATAAATATGCTATTAATAAAAGGAAAAGCATGATTATCAAGCATTTTAGGGTTTTGTGAAAAAAAAAAAAAGTTATCGACATTTTGCCATGTGCCGTTAAACAAAGGATATGCACTTTGCCTAATGTTCGTTACACTTAAAAAAACACATTATTTTAGTTTTGTAGCATACTCAAGATTCCAGGTGATACCCCTTCAAATAATTGGACAACGTTCATTGTGCTCAACTGGACAGTGTTTATTTCAGTAGGTTTATTCTAGTTTTGGCTGCGCAACGCACAGGTTTGCATCCAGTTTATTTTAAATAGGCATAAATTGATTTCAGCAGCAACCTTAACCTTTTGCAGCAAATATTTCAGCAGAAACAGATGCACGAAACACTATAAAATCCAGAGTACACAAAATTTGTACAGTCCCTCCCTCCCCCTCCCTCTCTCCTCTCAATAACTGGAGAAAGCCACCCAAGCTCTTGTGATTTGTGATCCCGTGTATACCCTACAAAAACTGAATCATAACTATCCTTTCCAGATAGCAGCACCACACATGTAAGAACTGTTGCCATGAGACTTAATCTGGATCCTTTTTCTTTAACTGTTTCTCCTGCTGAACTTAAAAGAATCTATTCAACCACTATTAAATCATAATCTATGGGGATCCAAGAAATAGCAGTTATCCAAGAAATTAACAGATAGGATGATATTGGGCTGATATCCTCTTTGGCGGCAATTTGCGAAGGATATAGAGGACTAAAGCTGAAGGTAGGACCTCAACCAGCTGTATTTTGACAAGTAAATTTCAAATGCCAAGAAAAAGACAAATCAAATTTAAAGTGGCAAAAGGAATTTAAGCAGCATACCATGTAGTAGATCAAGTCTAGAACAGGATGATCCCAAACATCAAGCGATACATCTGAATCTAATGAAGACAGAAAACCCTGCATGCATGTCCAGAGTGTGAATAAGAAAGCATAGTATTCTGCTTGTAGAATAATACAAGTCATTATTTAACTTTACACCTTTTTAGTCCTCACAACAAAAACTACAAATTTCTGCTTTCCTTTTTCCCTAAAACTCACCTACGCGTAGGACACACTTTGATCACTCTTTTGATTTCCATCTTCTCTCACTGACTTCTTTTCAAGTTAAAACTATTTATGAACACATCTGGTTCTCTCATTCAACTAATTTAGTGTCACATTTTGATTCTGATGAACAAATTTATTGGCATTTTTATCTCACACGTCATCAAACTCTACTGGCTAACTACATAATTCAAAATTTCAATTGTTATCATCAAAAGAAAAAAAAAATCACATTTCCATGAATCATACAACAAGAAGTTTAGTGGACATCTTTGGTATGAAGTATACCAAAAAGTAAACAATTAAGAACACGGTAAACCCTTATATTTAAATGTTTTATTACTGTTAAGAAACCCAAATATCACACAGATAAAATACATCAAAGGTAATAGAAATGTTCACATTTTTCTTCAACATCTGCTGATGTTAACCCTCTTGGTGCAAACAGAGGGGAGATTATCATATTAATGGTGTAAGGCATAAGACAAGCAGACAAGAAATAAGATTCTAGACATGACATATTTACATAGACAAGTTTATAAAAATGCTTAATTGAACATTTAAAAGATAACTATAAGAATAAAGGCAGAGTTACCATAACGCATCTTATCAGAAAACAGGTGAAACAGATGGCTGTGACAGATCCAACCTGCAATACACAGCCCGTGAAAATTAAATACAAGTAATATTGATATGAACAATTTCATTTCTTTGACAAAATAAAATCAATTTGTTTTCAATTTCATGGTGTTTGGATCATAACAGAAGAAAGCCAGAAGGGGTTTTTATCAGTTCTCAAGGGTACATACAGAACTTAACCTTATTGTTTAAAATGGGTAAATATTATAAAACCATCGGCTATAAAAGTGTAATATATAAATAAAAATGTCAATGACTGAAACAGAAAGTATTGATTTGGTGTGATCTAAGAAAAAGAAAATAAGCAAGTTAAAACCAATTATATTTGTAACATATAATTGCAGAAAACACAAATGTACAAACACTCTGCCATGCCCCTTGCAAAAACCTTTATCTCTTGTGTCTATGTTTGGAAGATCCATGTATTAAAATAATAGAAATGACGAGACAAAAAAAGTTGACAAACATTTACTACCTAAATACCTGCACATAACCTTCTCTGAAGAGGGGGGGAGGAAAGTGCGTCTAAAATAGACATACTATCAAATAGACACTCTTAGAAGAAATGCTCATACCTCATAAAGCTTCTTCCTTCTTCCTTTGGATTCAATTGGAAAGCGCCTCAGCATGAAAAATAATCTAGAAAGTTGCATGCAGAAATCAGAAAGGCCGCCCATAAGGCCATAACAACCATGAATTACCAGTGAGTAAATGAAACAGAGACCTCAGAGGTATTTCATAGACAATAGCAAGTCAGACAAAAAATGCAGAAGCCTCACCTTCCTCCATATAGCAGGAAGCCTAGGGCAGCCAGAAATGACACAACTGAAGAAAAGGAAAAAAAATAAAATTAAAATGCCGATGCATCTATCAACATATAATTATAAGGAGACAAAACTCATTCTGAAACTCGCAAGTGGATGTGAAACATAATCAATCTTTGATTAGAAAGCTAACCTGCAATAAATATCTTTCCAATGAACTCCACAACACTGTTTTCGTCTATCCAGAGGTAGATCCAAATACAAACCTAAATCCAAAGCCACAACTTAGTATTATGAATTCATGATTATTGATGTCAACTATCAAAGAAAGTGCTCCAGTTTGTTGTGAAATATTTATGCTTTGCTCAACACGAATCTTCCATATAGTAGATATATCATATAAGTAAATCATAACTATTGCGCAAGAGTTAGCCTGTTTTAAAAGCCAATAATTTCCAAATAAAATAAGTTATGGTTGGACATTCAGTAACAATCACCACATAGAATCTCCAAAATATTCATATGCCATGATATTTTCTAGAGAGCAGAAAATATTGACTCAAAACAATCTATTTCTTCCCCCATACTAGTTACCACAAATATTTCGTCCAGCAAAAGCAGCTGGCAGTGGGTGCCCAAATGTTGAAAACATAACAGGTTATAATATGACGGTGTCTGGCCAACATCATGCAATGAAAAAACCCAAATAAAGAGCTCTTGTCCATGAAAAAACATAGAATGTCCAGGGGAAAAACAATGAAATGCTACAGAGTTGAGAGAGAAACTATGGCATGAACAGTTAGGGTGCAAGTGCATCTATAATGCAGTTGCAGAGGAGATGTCATTGCGCATTGATCCAGCGTGTTACGATGATTGATGAGCACTAAGAGAATACCATACCAAAATAGTGCAGACCAGCTTACGTGCAATGCTGTGTGTTTGAAGGAAATGAGATAGATACCTGGATAATATACAAGGCAGCATTTACCGAAATATAAACTATCTTGAGCTTATCAGTTGGTAAACCCCTTGCCTGTTCAATCAACGGAATAAAATTAGCATTTCTTTTTCTTTTAAAAAAGATTCCTTAATCACGCAAACATGGATGAATCTTTTTTTAGGTGGTTCTATTTTATTCAAAATGAGGTACTCATTCGATTCATAACAGTTAAAATAAATAACTTTAATTTCGCTTGCCTGGTGATAAATTTCTGCCCAAAAAAGAACTAGAAGTGTGTAAGTGGAGAAAAACAGAAGCCCTGGCAGATCTAACAGCATCAAAATCATGGCCTAATAGAACAAACAGCCACCTTGTGTCAATATACCAGCCTTACAATCATCAGTCAAGTATCGCGGGTGCAAAACAGAACTAACCTTAGGATGCAAAAGAAAAACTAGTTTGTGCAAACCAAACACCACCGCACGCACTGCAACATTAAAATGCAAATTAAAAAAAAAAGTGAAATGCCGGAACAAACTCATAAGATAAGAACAAAGATCTCAAAGGAGTGTGACCACACCTCCGTTGACAATGAAGTTCATGAGATGAAAAATTTTCTGCGTTGTCCAACCATACTCAGGTACTCTTACTTCAATTCTTAACAATTGAATCTACGAAGTTTGAACATGAGCAATTAAATGAACTCTAATAAACTGAATTGCGGTTGAGTAAATAAAAAAATAATTGAAGGAGTGTATGTATATACGAGAGCGATGGAGGAGACGAGAGCATAAGCTGCGCAGAGGAAGTAGAAAATAGCGTCCTGCCAGCGAGTGGAGTGGTCGATTTGATACCACCACGAGAAGAGAGGTGGAATCTCCATCGCAATGGGCGTGAAACTGAGTTGCAGTTTCCTCATTTTGCGAGGGGAGAGATAGAGAGAGAGAGAGAGAGAGAGAGAGAGAGAGTTTAGTGTAGTAAGTAGTCTCTACCTGACAGTCTACAGAGAGTGTGTGTTTGATAAATTAGAACGGAGATTAGATTAGAAGATTAGAAATGGAAACAGCAACTTTGGCGCGCGCTTTGCTTTCTGTCTTGTCTCCTCTCAACTAAGCTTCTTCCCTTCCATTTCTACCTCAGTCCCACCTAGCAAGCGGGGTGGTTGCGCTCCATTTACTGCCTCACTGCCCCTTCTTATTATTTTCCCATCATTTCTAAATTATAAATATCTAATCAAACTTTGTTTCTTAATTTATTACTAACTCAATTTTAAGGGTATTATTTCAAAAATTAATTCTTTTATAAAAAATTTATTATATTCAAAAAACTAATATTCATTTTAAATAAATGTTTAGAATACGTATTCAATATTTCCTAATTAATGAGGCATATTTCCGAACAAAACAATTTAATTTACGTTTATAAACAAAATATATTTTAATATTCAATAAAATTTTATTTAACACAAAATTTAAAAAATAATTATAAATTTATTGACTGTTTGATGATATTTGTTTTTTTTACATATTTGCTTTATTATTCTATATATTTATTTTATTTATTTTTAAATAATTCATATCAATGTATGAGAGTGTATACGAAACAAGGATTTAGTTTCATGAAACCTTCTTTTTGAGGGGTAAAATATAATAAAATAATAGAAGAAAAAGAAATGAGAGGTTAATGTATTAATTTTTTTAAATTTGTTTAAACAAGTACAAAATAAAGAGTAAAAAATAATTAATTTATATTAAAGTAAAAAAAGTGTAATTACCATTAATTTTTAATTCTGTTACGATTAACAGTCAAAGGAAATATGTTATTAATAACTAAAAATGTATTAAAACAGTATTATTTCTTATTAGGTGGTAGGAAGAAAAATTTTGAAATATAAATAAAAATGATTTAAAAAAATATATATAAATTTTAACATTTTTTATTTTTCATTTAATTAAATAAATAAATAAAATTGTTGTCGGTTTTTTTCTTTTTTTCTTTTTCTCCATTATTAAAATCAAATAAGGCATTAAGCTTAAAATTCATTATAAATGTCTTAGGCAAGAAGTATCGCACAAAGGATCCGTGGCGCAATGGTGGCGCGTCTGACTCCAGATCAGAAGGTTGCGTGTTCGATTCACGTCGGGTTCAAGTCTCCCGGAAAGGTCCTTTCTTTTTTCTTTTTTCGTTTTTCCTAAAAAGCGTCGATCAACGGCTCAATATTGAAACTGTAGTGTTGACTACTCCAAAAACGTTTACAAAATATATTCCATCTAACATTTGACGAGACCAGTACATGGTGGAACAAGGTCCATTGGGATAAACATTGGTTAGTCACTCTCGAAAACAACACTTCAAAACACTCCTAATTTTAATGGTTATGTCAGAAGCCAATTTTTGCAAACAGCCTGTATAATATAACCATAATTTACAGCAGTGAGCCCTCGCCCGTGCCCACCCCTCATCCTCTGCATCTCAATGGGAACTCAACTAGACCGATTTTGATACTACTGCAGATCTCCTAAAATATTGTGCTCCATATGCTGCAGTAGATGCCACTGTTGTTGAACCCACTAAATAGCTGCACCGTAAAACGGTTCTAGTTCAACATCTAGCAATACTTGGTAGAAGGGAAATAAAATTTTCCAGACAGGTTACCTCAAATAAGTAATATATGATTGAGTATCTTCGGTTCCAAACTCTGGTTGAAGAAGTGCTGCAGCAACTAATAGTAATTGGAACACTGTATTCACCTGTTCAAATTTGTAGGACAGATAAAAGGCAACACGACAAGCAAGTGATACAACTAGCATACATAAGCCGGTCTGTGCTTAACGTCCAGCACCATGCACTATATAAATAAACACAAAACACCCATAAAGCTCACCTTGCTTAGAAAGAGTGGTTCAACCTTTTGGCGGCAGGTCCCATCGAGGTTTGAAAAATCATACCAGGTTTTCCACTGAGAGATCAGAGAAATACACAATGTCAAAAGGTTTCTCATCTCAGTGAGTACACTATTTCTCAAGCAAAATGGAAAACTTGAGAACCACACTATTCATACCTTCCAACCCAAGCTACTTGCTCTTAGAAATACTGCACCACCAACAAGGAAAACATCTCGGAACACCACGAGACTGACTAGTCCAGCTTCAAATTGAGGAATCAAAATGGACAATCTTACACAACGCATATGGGATAAAAGTAATATCTGTTCTCAAAACAAAAATGCTGAATAATGCAATAACATTTGAAGCAGAACATTCACAAAATCCTTTCAATTTTCAACCACTAAAATCATTAAGCCCAACCAAAACAAAATTAAAAGAAACTTTCATCTGATTGCCATCCTAGAACAATGATATATCTTGTGTTAAAATTCTACAGATGCTGCTATTCATAGAAAGCGAGATGCATGATTATCCTTGTCTTACATTATAGAGATAAACGGAGGATGTGAATGTAACCCTCCTCAACCTTATTCATCTTTCCCCATGTTTGTTTCTCATTTTTCTTTCTATCTCCATAAAATGAAGCACGCTTAGGTCAATTATTGGTTTTAATTTAAACAAGCCAAAGAACCACAAACTCACACAAAACTTAAGTAGCAGTAGCAGAATGACTTACGATGCAGTAGATCTTTATGCACCATGGCAAGAGCTACGCAGCCAATAAGAACCTGCATCACGAATTGAGAACAGAATATGAAACAAAACCACTACGGAAGCAAGAAAAAATGACAACGGAGAGGGTTTAGCTACCTTGTCAGCAAGGGGATCAAGGTAGGAACCCACTACGGAATCGATCTTCATCTTCCTAGCCACGTATCCATCCAGCTACAACCATTTGTTTGCATCACACAAGAATATAACGATGAGCATGTCATTGTTCGGCATTGCAATCAAAATGTAAAAACCAGCAAACATTTGCTTCTCAATCTCATACCCACCCAATCAGTGCCCCCAGAGAGGGCCAACCCTATCATTGCCGGAGCATACAACTCGTTCGAGATCATCCTGCATATAAAATTCTAATTAAATCAACATTAGTTTTATAATAAATAAATAAAAAATGGAAAAATGAAGGTACCATGCGAGAAGAGGACCGGAAATTAATCGGGTAAAGGAAATGAAATTGGGAAGATTGACGAAGCTGTTGAAAAGCGAAGAGGTGTTGGAATTGGAGGGAACCGGATCTAGGAAACGGAGAGGTAACGGAGAGGGGTGGACCTTAGGGAAAACGACGGCGTTTCCGTGCAAATAGAGAGGGGTAGCGGACTGAGAGAGTTTCCACGGAGGCCAAGAGAGGAAGAGAGGGCCTGAGGCTGGGCCTGGGCCGCGCTCATGGGGAGAGAGGAATGGGGAGCGGAAGATGCGGTTGTTGTAGTGAGGTGCGTACAATGGGAATGTGGTTGTGTAGGTTAGGAATGTTCGAGCTGTGGTTTTTGTTTGGGTGTTTTGGACGAGCTTTGATTTCAGCAACTTTGTGATCAGAGGCATCATTGAAACATTTTTCGAGCTTTGGGGTTTTAGATGTCAGTGAAGAAGGAGAATATGATACGTGCGTTTTGTCCGTTCAAACATGTGTCCTAGGCTGCGCCGTTCCTGTTCTAAGTCACACACGTTCTTCGCCGTTGAATTTTGTGGTTTTCTAATGCAAAACTAGAAAATGTTAACTCATAATCTATCGAACACAAAACTCTTTTTTACTTTATTAATTTCGTGATATTGATAAAATTGTTCTATTAATATTTTAATTAATAAAAATCAGGATAAATTAAAATTATTTTTTTGATTTAAAATTATATTTTATAATTTAAGTGTTACTAATCTTAAATAATATTTTTTATCACTAAACACATAGATTAATACAAAAAATTATTCCAGTTTTATTTATAATTTAGGTTCCAATAAATAATACCTATGAAAATGATAAAATAATAATAACAATAATAATTTTAAACTTTTATTTATTAAAAATAGATTAAATTTTGTATTAATGCATATAAAATTAAAAAAAGATTTTATATTTAATAATTTTTTTCTTGTTTTTCACTTTCAATATATATATATATATATATATATAAGCGCGTATCTTCTTATATCAGTATTAGCGTAAATCTAAAAAGTAAAAAAATTATTATAGCGCATATTTTCTTATATCAGTATTAGTGTAAGTTTAAAAAATAAAAAAATTATTATTATTATTATATATATATTCAACTTAATCCGTAACTTGTTTCCAACCCTTTTTTTCCTTCTAAGTACTTCCCCCGTCCAACTAAACCCTAAAATATAGAGATGTCATAATAATACTAATAATAATATTGAATTTTAGTACTCAAACATCAAACAACTGAATGCTGCAACTGATCATTGGAATCCTGAGTGTCTACTACAACGGATATTTAAAAAAAGCATTATTCAAGTATCTCTCTCAATTTCAAACGCATAAAGCCATTGTTCTCCATCACAATGCCGAGCTACCAATAAATTTTATGCCGAGATTTTGAAGTATCTAATGTATTGGACAACTCTGTGATTTTGAACTTGCCAAGAGGATACAGGGACCATGCCTATGTGAGGATGACTAGGACTCGCTCAAGTTTAAAATTTAAAGTAAACACACACACACACAATTAAATCCTTAATTAATGTCGCTGTTTTAGTGGATCACTCTCATGTCCAAGTACAGAAATATTAATGTAGGCACAATTACAAATATGTTGATCAATACAAACGAACTCTTGTGCTTGAACCTTTTGTTCAGAATAGAAAGGGGTCACAAATCAGAAGGTGATATATAGACATTGAGAATAATGGCATTCATTTACTATCAGATCCATAATCTTCTTGCTCGCACCATTTTTCCAACGAACTGAATTGGGTCAAATCTTCTTGTTCAAGTGATACAACACCCAATTTATATTCCGTCTGAAAGCAATAAAATGGAGCAGTACCAGAGGCATAAGAAACAAAAGGACCTGGCACAGAGAACTTGAAAATGAAATCAACAAGAACTCCCAAATAAAAAGTTGCCAATTCTTGCAACACAAAGTGAAAATAACATGAACATGCTGCAAGTTTTGGTCAATCAAGACACAAGCGCAGACTAATTCAAGAAATTGCATTCACTTAGAGTTGAATGTTGTTGAGGTTATCCTTGAGGATCCTGTAGTTGTAACCAGGAATCTTGTTCCACTGATTGCATTCTGCTACTTCAGCAGCAGAACATATTTTTGGGAGTAACCCATTTGCACCTCTTCTCTTTCTCCTCTTCCCTGGCATTAGCAAGACCCACAAACTAGGCCTGGACGCGGAATACCCTCTTCCAGAAACCATCATGTCCACAAAGTGTGGCTGAGACTTTTGTGAATTCCCTAACTCAAACTTGGTGAAATATTCAATTTCTTTCCTGACAAGAGATCCAATTGTGCCTCTTGTGCCTATAGCAACTGGAGTAGCAGCAGCCATTCTATCTGGGAATTTGGTTTTAATGGCAGTGACACTGCTTTTATTGTGCAACAAGTTTACTGTTGAACAGTATTCATGAAGGAGGCTTCTAGATGAAGATAGCGTGGTCGTGATTCTAAATTTAATGTTGAATTCTTCTTTTGATCTTTGGCAGTAAATTGCAGATAATAACATGCTTTATGAAAAGCATGAACTTCCATTATTGAAACTTTAAAAAGTGAACAAGAACATCATATTCTCACTATGTCTGCAATAAAAACTCGCCTGTTTTCCCGGCATCACACTTTATCCTTTTGACTTCTTGGACATTATAATTGCTTGCTTATTATGCACACTAGTGAATAGTTTCATAGTACATATGAATTTTTTTGTGTTTGGTTATCTGTACCCTTAAATTCTTCCACAGTTTGCTATTTTGACAAATTTAAATTTTCTACGGACGCTCAACTCAAAATGGTTCACTTTTTAGTTTTTTCTCTTGGTCAAACTTACCCTCCACCTTTTATGCCTTTGGGCCCTTGGCAGGTTGATATTTCGTTGTCTTGGTTGTGAGCTTTTTGGGTACGAGGGTCCTATGAACTTGCTGACTTGCTGATTAGTAGTTGTTCTATTAGAATTTTGAAGATTCTTTTTTACGTTAAAGTATTTTTATTTTTTTTTAAGTTATGGAAACTTTTAACATCAATCATAAAAACAGTAATGTTTTATTAATGAACATTTTTTATATCATAAAATAAAAATATAATAAATATTTTTAATAAATTTTTATTTTTTTTAAATGTTAACAAAATTGTAAATTTATTTTAACTTAAAAAATGCATTGTTTTAAGAAAATACAATCATTGACTGGCATTTTTATTTTGAGATTTTTTTTATATGCGATCCCTTCATCCCCAGTAATTGGATAAACATAATTGACTGGCAATGCAACACAAGATACTCACATCACAAATAGGAAATCCATCGTAATGAAAGTTATATCAACTATTTGTGTCCCTATTGTTATACTGCACAATCAACAATTATTTGTGCATGGACTCGTGAAGCCCACAGATACAACCTTTTTGTCATTTGATATATATATATATATATATATATATATATATATATATATATGTTACCTTTTCTCCCTGATTTCAGCATGAAATTTTGAAAGGAAGAATAATCAATGTGAGGTCTCACGTTACAAAATTTAGTAACTACTTACATTTCAAATTAAGCGTCGTCATTGGAGTGTTTGATTTTTCTATTAACACGAACAACAGGATAAAATGGTAGTAAGGGACACCGCAAACAATTGAAATGTACATCTTTATAAGCCTCAAAATTGGTTATCGACTATAATTTTATAAGAACATATTCTCACCCAGACTGCTGCTTATCTTTCTTTCCTTGTTTTTTTTTCCACCTCTTCTCTCGTCCTTTGTTTTGTTTTGTTTTTATTGTGTAAGATTAAGTGAACAAATTATTGTACGCCGGGAAGATGGCACACATACCCCATTTTTCGATATGAGGCAAGAGCATGTCGCAGAGCAACATTGATGCTAGCACCCTCCCTGAATAATGAATCATACAACAGACAAACAAATTGTGACAGTTCCTCTTCGTCACTGTCCCATAAAGAAAATGTGCGGTCCCCATTTTTCTCGGCGTCACTATCTTCCCAGTCACTTACTGGGCTATCAGGTATGTTCTCGTCATCCGCTTCATCCTCTCCAATTTCAAACTTACCATTTTCCATCACGTTCAACTCTTTGGAACCATCGAAGTTGGTCAACGGAGACTCTGGGGGTTCATTTGAAGGACAAACAACAGCTTTGGCACCTGAGTCTAGAAAGGCCTTAATAAGAGCAGGAGTAGGTCCATATGTCCCTGTGCATATTATGATCCTGTCTCTCCAAGCTCCAACCTAGGGTATTCAAGATAATAATAAAAGGAGAAAACAGAAATGAGTCAGAGCACATCCATGTATATGGACACAGGATTTGGTTTGTAATTTTCTCCCCTATAATACCTACACCGGGGAAAATATTGTTGCACAGGAGAACAGAGAAGTAATACAACAAAACATCCATTTTAAAAATATCCGTCTCTTCCCTTCCCATATAACCGAACATTATATGATATAGACATCTTAAATTGAAACCGTCAACAAGGAAAGCATGGCTCTATTTGATATTAAGAACCTCCACTAATTGATTATAATAGGATTTGACAACTATAAGTGAGGAATGCAAGTTAAAGACAGCCCACAAAAAGTAATGTGCAGATTATAATTTTACTACCTTTAACAACTTCGTAATGTGTAATATATGTGTATTTGCTTTATTACAATCTTAACCAATGAACTTTTAATCAACGGTTATAACACTACACTTCACCTCTAAAGACAACTATTTATTAACATAGAGAAGCCAAATCTATAAAGGTGATTTGAGTAAGCTTTTCGAGAAGTTTTTATAAGAAAAAAAAATAGTATAAAAAATAAATAGAACTTCTCTCCTATTAGAAACAACTTATACTTTTTTATTTTTCTAAAAGTTCTAAGAAACGTTTTAACTTTTCTAAAATTTGAAGAGATAAGTTATTTTTAACGTGTAAGAGAAAATTTCTTGATTTTTTATACTATTTTTTTTCTTGTATAAGCACTTCTCTAGAAGTTCACTCAAACAAGGCCATTGTCACTCTTCAAGCCAAAATCATTCTCTTGATATGATATAAAAACTAAAATGTTTATTCCCACATTTCCAAGAAAAGTATGCCAAAAGAAATATATTTGACTACTAAAGACAGAAAACTGTCAAAATAATGGCTGTCGATGATCTGTAAATCCTACAGTACCCATACAGTCCAGATGCTTTATGAATCAGCCGAGCTAGTGTCACAATAAATTTGTAATAAAATGGATTCTAGCTTTGTAAGTTCTGTCCCCAATATTTTAATCGCCCATATTAGGCATCCGTGTGTTTAACCAGATTAAAGAATCCCTCAAGAACAAAAGTTTGTAATAGAGACAAACTAAACCGTATGAAAAATGGACCTAGAACAATACAAACTGATAATCACACCTAAGATATAAACCGTATGAAACAAAACTTTTTTCAGAGTATAAAAGTGACCCTTGTATAATCAAGTGATAAACACCCAACCATCATTCTATATCTTAAAACCCAAAAAATATGATGAAAGTAAACATTGGGTAACAACCAAAAAGAAAGTCAATAGTTTGAGTGAAGCTCCAAAAAATGTACATCAATAAGGACAATAAGAAAATCAAAATTGGAGAAAAGCACTTACCATCCATCGTACATCGTCAGGTGATAAGTGCATAGAAGGGACAGTCCTACGAAACATATATGAACTAATTTCTTGATCATCCTCCATAACCTACATAAAAGATATCCAAACTCAAGTTTCTAATAGATATATTAATTTGATTCAAAAAATTTATAAAACACAAGGGGTAGAAGATATACTAGGGTTTGACGGCCTAGATAACGGTGGACAATGCCTCCAATATGAAAATAAGGTTTAAAGGCAACTAAATCAGAAATAGTAGAAATATTGGCCAAGAGAGATGCGCCCTTCCTGCGATGGCTCCTCATTGTTGACAACGAACTGAATTTAACATTTTGTAGAAATTTCTCAGCAAGCTCTCCAGGTTCAGCCACCACAAATACATCATTGTGCCAACTAAAGAAAAGGTAAAAACATCATGCTTCCATCTGCATGGAGAAAAATAATGGTAACAATGAATAGGAATTCATTAATTGCAGTAGCAAATACCTCACAATCAAGCCATCTGAGTCATTCTGAAGAGCTAAATGTATAACACCCACTTGCGGTGAGTTCTGCAATTTCTCATGCAATGATTTAACAGGTAAAGAGAGCTGTCTAAGTCCTCGAGGAGACATAGGAGGTGATGCAGCTGTTTTTCCCAATTGACCATCTAAACTTAAAGGTGGGACCAGATCAATTCGTCCATTCCTCTGACCAATGTCAGGACTATATACAAGGGGACTTGAAGGGAAGCTTCCTGTAAACAGAGGTGATGCAAATGGAGTAGGGAATGTTGTTGATGGCACAGTCTTTACAATCCCAGTCAAGCCCTGCATGAGGGACAATCGTATGCTGTTACGAGCACAAAATGACTCAAGCGCCCGGGCATGGTGGATCACTCTTCCAGAATCTGGATTCTGTGAAGCTTCAACAAGTAGTATATTACGCCTCCACCCTAAAGTGGGGCCATTAGCACCTGATAAAACAGAACAAAAAGAATCTTAAAATTTAGGGAGATCAATAAAAGCGAATTTTTACAGTATAGACAACAAATAATCCAAAATACCCTTCAGTGACTCTTTTGTCTTGGGTACTTTAGATCTCAGATTCTCTGACCACTTCTCTTCATGTTGGAAAGGAAGAAGCAATCTCTCACACACATTTTCAAATGCCTGATAATTTATTTGTATATATTCTTCAATTGCAGATTCCAACTTTAGCCAGTTAGTTGGATCTGTCTCATCAAGTTCCATTTCACAACGTTCATCAACTGTGAAGAAAACACACACAAGTACAGAAGACTAACTGAGAATTAAATTTCCTAAAGCAACTCTGAAAGTACAATTCTCTATCAATCAAGTAAAAGAAATGAAGTTAAAATTAAAAGAAAATAGGGAACTGCTGAAAATTGATTTAACTAGAACTAGAAGGTGGCAAAGAAACTTTTTCATACCCACTCTTCAAAACATAAACACGATACCTGGATTAAAACGAAAATATCGTATCTCAGGAAGCATAGGCAGCAATGTACTTAAAGCTTCTTCCACACGATCAACAGAGCATGCACTCTCAATTAACACCTGCCCTGTATCCAGATATCGCCAACCACCCCTTCGCATCTAAAACAGCATAAATGCACAATAATAAATTATGTAACTCAAGAACTTCAATAGTCAATAACAAGTCTCCTAAAATCAAAATTACTATTACTAATAATATTCTTTTTTTAGTGTTCATGCTTACAGACCTATAAAACTAGTGTAACAATGAGTACTTTCAAAGCCATTGATCTTTTTTCTTTTTTTTCAAATACAGAGTACCATTTCAGAACTAAAACAAAGAAGAATAGTTACCCTAGTTCGAACAGAACCACATCCTATTGAAACCAGACAGTCAATTTTTGTGTCAGGCCACAGAAGTTGTGCTTCTCTTATGGCAAAAATTGTGGGATTGTTTGCCACTATTGCACCATCTTGCCAGCGGTTGACGTCTTAAGGCACGTTGCATGATGAAAAGAAATACATGTCAAAAACAATACAGGCGTGGAAATAACCAGATTGATGCAAACAGCAGCACAGCAATCAGTACCATCAGAGAAATCGTCAAGATAATAAGGAGCAGCAGATGATGCTCTGATAGCCTTCCATATTTGATGCTTACAGCTTCCAACGAAAGCACTGCGCTTGTAGCCAACTTGTGCACCTATAGGTGATGCTAATGCAGTGTTCCCTGAACTATCTGATGTTGCAAAAGCCACCTCAGGTGTTCCAGCAGGGTACTGCATTGTAGATAGTAAAGGCAAGGAAGAGAGAAATAAAGTTAAATATTATAAAGAAACAATACATTTACAACCATGAGAAAGTATAATTTAATAGCCATTATAAATACCAAAAAAAAAAGTATTAACCTCACACCTGATAATTGCGAAATATAAATGGCTGTGCTGGCATCATGCTCACCAAGGTTGATACAACAAAAACTTTGGGCACACTTTTCACGGCAGAATCTATCATTAGATCCCCATCCTCATCAGCACACATTTCCTTCAATAGCCTCTCGAACTGATCTGCACTGTGCTGCATGACAATAAGTCATAATACTCCTTTTAGGGCATAGAAAATACAAATTTGTAGATCATAGATCCAGGCCCAGCCATCAAAATAGCTAATATTCATAAAAAGAATGCATTATGCCCTCTGTCATCAAATGTAAAATAGGACAACATAAACTTTTATATTGTAAAGTGTCTCATTTACACTCACAATTTCTAAAATACATGCTTCTAAGATTTAAAAAATATATAAAACATATATTTAGATGAAATAGAGGAGTGAAAAAAAGTTGTCAATATACCAACTTAAAGGATAGAAATATATACTTTTGATCCATGAACAACAACCCTAAAACTCTGTGATGAACTCTTATAAAGTTGATCTAACTTTTCTCTCCAAGTTGCAGCTTCGTTGTCCTTGGGAACAGGTTCAGCAAAAACAAGCTTCCCTGATTCCAAGAGTTTTGATCAGTTTATCTAGAATTGCAGGGCAAATAATTGGATCAATAAAAAAATAACATGTGCCATTCTAAAGCTATGTCCTTACCAAGATTTTTGTATATATCTTCACATTCTTCCAAAGTCATTAACTTAATTCCAAGGGCAACAGCTAGCATTCCACCAGTTGATGTGCCACATATTAAATCAAATAACTCATGTATTCGTTTTCCAGTTCCCTTTTCAATTTCCTTTAGCATTTGAACAGTTGCTAGACCTTTCATCCCTCCTCCATCCATTGAGAGTATGCGGAGTCCTTGTTTTGCCACTTGTCTCCCTTTTATTGCACGCCTCAGATTTTCATTTTCTCCTACAAAAGCATAAAATGAAGAAGTCCATTCATTAATCAGGAAAAAAAATCCTAAAAAGCATAGATAAATTGTATATCCAAAGACAAACCAAGAATTGCCAAAGCACGAGCTGCAGCTTTGTAAACACGTGGCTCAGTTGCAACAGCCAGGCGCAAGAGAAGTTCTCGTAAGCTTTCAGAAGTAACAAGTATACGACGGTTTTCTAGACAGAAGGCCAAATTCCCAACAGCTAACAGAGCAAGCCTTTGTACCTACAGAAAGATAAACCTAAAATTTAAAGGACTATGCAATATATGGAATCAATTAAACCATTATCTATGAAAAGAAACTAACTTGCCTCTGGATCTTTATGGGCACACAAGTTTTTCAATGATTTCAAAATATCTTTGGTCAACATCTTCTCAGCCACAGTATCAGATGTGAAGGCCAACTTGACCACAACTTGCAATACAGATATTACCTCTTCCTGACCTGCAAATTTCAGAACTGTTCCAATTGGTTGCATGATGTCTGCTTTCATCAACTGCAGTGCGACAGAATCATCAGAGGCAAGGGCTGAAAGAGCAGAGCATGCTTGTTCGACCTGCAAAATATTAAAAGCAATCACAACCACCAAATACAGCAACATAATAAATTAAAAACTTGTGATTTCTTGACCCATTAAAACATACCACATGACAGTTGTCACTGCTTATCATGCTTATAAGCTGTCGTACTGCATTCTCATCTTTACCTACAAACACTCTATTTCCCTCATCTTGCATTATCTTTCCCAGGGCAGATGCAAGTAAAGGATGATGACAAGAAGAAAAGCGGAATATAAGAGAGAAGGCAGCACTGAGTTTATGCCTAGATGCAACAAAATAAGAACTGTTTTCCATCTGTAATGACCAGAAAAAAAAAAAGCAAGTTTAGCTGAATATGTGATATGTTGTAAAAGAATAAAGTCATAAAAGTAGTCCAATTAGTTTGTGCTACCTCTATTTGCACATTCACGGATCTCAAATTTTCATCTGCCACAATCCTAATATTTGCAAGAGAAAGGTGACGAAGTTTGTGGAGGGGCAAAATTTCAGGAAGAAACTCAAGCGGATTTCCAAATAGCCTAAGAACTCGTAATTCAGCCATAGCCCTGCCATGTGTGGTAATGGTAAGACAATATGAGTACGTGGAGTCTAGACTAGTCTATACAAATTGTCCAAACCAAAAACCTGAAGTCAAGAAGTGGCCGAACAAGCTTGTTGTGTTCCAATGACAACTCCACTAATTGCATACACTGTCTCAATTCCACTGATCCAAAAAATAAAAAAATCAGATACAAGGGATTTTATTTTACAAGAAACACTAATCATAAGACTTCAGTTACTTAAGGAAATAGCGCAATAGTAAATACTAAAGGGCCGAACATTGGATGTGCTCCTCAAATCCACATGGGTTTTCTAAGTGCGTTGTTACAGTAAGTGAGGCCTAAGACTTCCCATACCCATGGTAGTCATGCTTTTCTATATTAAGTTGAAAGCTGCATGTAATCTAACATTACTCATTTCTTTCAAGCACTGCTACGCTGTCTTCAGTATACTTACTAGATAGGATATAAAATTATTTCCTCCTCTGCCAGGCACACACCAAAAAAACTAGTTTACTACTATCCTTACATGGTAGTAAGTCAAAGAGTCAGATAATGAAAAACTTACCAGGCACCGAGACAAGCATGTTGTTGTCAACCCTAAGCACCCTTAAGCATCTCAGCTCACCAAGCTCAGGGGGCAAAACTGTCAGCTTATTGTTATCAAGGTAGAGTTTCTCAAGGTGTGGCAATTGTGTAAGCTCTACTGGAAACACCTGTACATTATAAACAGTGTTAAGAACATCCCTAATCCAACACAATAACTTTGACCTCCACCTGAATTATAAAATTCAGTGAGCTTCCCGAGCATTGGTGAGGACAAAAGCAACGCTAGCAGTAGCAAACATAATAACACAATTTGAATCTTTCATATGTTACTGTAGAATATAGCGGGAACAAACAAAACCACTTACTAACTTCTTCAACTTCGAAAACTAAACACATCACTCCAAAAACAAACAGATTGAAATTCATTCCCTAAAATCATCCCAGAAGAAATAACGCAAACCAAACCGACATAAAATGAACATAAAAAGTGAAAGTTTCCTGAATGATGAATAAGAAACGCTCACCGATAAGCCACAGCCACAAATACTGAGCACAGCAAGAGTGGACCAATGGTGACCGCAACAGGCAGCGGCGTCTCCATCATTCGGCGTTGAGGAAGCCAAATCGGAGCGCAACAAGCGTATCAAAACCCCAGTGCCCTCGTTTTGCTGACCAGAGCCAACAGCCTTGGCCATTGTGACAGCCCTGAGAGGCTCCCTTCTCTTAACAACCTTCATTCCCAGATCCACCACATTCTCATCATCATCACGAGGCCTCAGTTCAACCACCACGGTGTCCTGCGGCAACGGCAGAGCCACCATCAACTGCGACTGAAGCTTCAGAGCGACCTGATCCTCCTCCTCCGACGCGGACCAATCCAATTCGATGCGAAACCCGAGGTCCTGATCCTGCGAAAGGATTGAGGAAGAGGACGACGACGACGACGACGACGAAGACGACGAACGCGACGAGTTTGAGGTACGGGTGAGAGTCTCCGGCGGATCGTCGGTGCCATAGCTGAGAGTAAGGTGGAAGATCTCGGAGGGCCTCTTCCAACCCAATCCCCAAGACATTGTCGATTCGCGATGGAGATTCAATATTCAGTTACGGCATGGCGCCGTTGAATGGCCGAGAATTGATGAACTCTACGTTGCCACATTCGGATCCGAATTCGATTGCTGTTGAATGCTGAATGCTAAATGCCGATTGATGGTTCAGCGAATCTCAGAATGAAGATGCCACAGACTGAGACTCGCGCACACCACACGGAACAGGCGTGTGATCAAGTTTGGCACATACAGAGAGAGCGAGAGAGAGAGAGAGAGAGAGGACGAGCCCAAGTTGGGGGTGTTACCCGTCAACATACATATATTCAGTGTCCTTTACAGAAAAAATTAGTTTGGACTTTGGAAAATTAATGAATTCCATGATAATCGGTGGTTAATGTACGTACGTTTCAAAGAAGTTATGTATTTAAACTAAAATCCCACTCCCACCCACCTTCATTTTTTTTAATATATTTTTAAATAAATTTTATTATTTATTAATTTCTTAGCTAATGTTCTAAGAATGATAATTAACAAAAATCTTTCTTAATTATGACATTTTATAAAGAACAAGTTTGCGAATTAAGGCTATTTTAAGTACATTTAAGGGACGGAGCCAGGGCCGGCTATAGTTGAAAGAGCAAACATAACCTTACTGGTTCATTTGTTTCTTTGGATATATTTCAACACCATTAGACGCTGGTGAAAAATGAAGATAGAAAAGCATTATTTTGTAGTGTGACGGTGAGAAAAACCTTATTTGAATTCTTAAAATTTAATTATGCTCGCACTTCATTTTCTTAGTGGATTTTATTGGCTTATGTTTGGCTGGGATCCCCCAATAAATAAATTTCGTTATTGTCTTTTCTTGGAGTGATATTACTTAATGAATTTAAAACGCATTACTAATGCTTTCAAATAAAATTATTTCTTTTAGAAATTCTTTTTATTGAACAACTTTAACAGCCACATATTCAACACGATATCCCCCGTCCATTTTCTTCTGCAAGCAACGACTTTGACCATACTTAGGTCTTTTTCCGCTGAACAGGTGATTAAGAATTAGTCGCAGTGCTATCAGTCAGAGTCTTCTTGGCATCCATTACTAACTATTTAACACTGTCTGACTATATGTTAAATTGTTAAGGCAGTGTCTGTTACAGTGTCATCCTTTCTGGATTGTTGTATCATTTAATGAAATTCAAATCTATGATATTGCAGTTCATTAAATGGGAATCAAAATTAAGCTCACATTTTACATGACAATATTTCAAGTTACTAGTATCATATCTGTACAATAAATATGATTATTTAGAATATGTGTTTTCATTATTAAAATAAAATTAAACAACAAATTAATAAAATAGAAATTTTAAGGAAAAGGTGTGACAGTTAATGAAATTAACGGACACGGAAAGTCATAGCTTGACGATTGATTAATGCCTGGGCTATTTCACCACAAGAAAAGGATTTTGTTCAATTGTGTTGGTATAATGGACGAGTTCCAATCCCTAATGGTCAAATATAAAAATTTACTAATTGCAGTCACTTAATCAACACATACATAATGACTTCACCATATCCTATTTCATCAACTAAAACCTCCTAGAAGAATCACTTCACTGCGGTGATTTAAAGTTGTAAGCTGTGCCCATCGTATTAATAGCTGGTAAAACTCATATGACATAAATACATTATAACTCCAGATTCGTTGCTGCCGAATTAAACAAATTTATTAACTCCTGCTTTACTGCATTATCTGCAAATATAAACTCGACAGCATTCTTTGATAGCTCAAACATTTCTTTCCTTCCAAGGCCTGGATAATAGCCAAACCAACAAGCAGTCAACAAAGTTAGCCATTAGTATTTTTTAAAATTCCACTGGCTGCAAGAGAAAAGTTAAACCTACCAAATGAAGCAGCAGCAGTTTGGTATTCGATGGACAGACTGGTAGAGAATACGCCTGGGTCATCGGTACATAGGATTAAAGGATGCTTTGCTTCATACAAATGCCCTGCATCAACAAGAGCATCGTGATGTTAAGCTGTTAACCAAAACTTGTAACTTCCCCACGACTTCTTTCCTTTATTAACCAAAAATTGAAAATAAACCCTTTTCCGTAAAGCCCATAAAATCTTAGTGAAAAGCTGTAGAAACAGCAAGGTCCTTTTATTATCCTATACCAACATAAAAAATAAACAAAAGAACCTACCGAAATGGTGAGCTTCTATTGTTTGAACAGAAAGTGTCTGAATGTTTGATGTTAAACAAATTTCAACCTGAAAATGTGAAGATGATATTACTCGGCATTCAATAAATTGCGAAGAGACAATATAATATCAAGCTTTCAAACATAGCAACAATCAAAAGCCATAATGGATGACCACTGAATTATGGGCTCCACTTATTCCAAATCAATTTTTTTAACAGAAAACTTTAGAAGAGCATGCAAAACCATTTAACTGATTGATTATCAACAAAGGACATCTGCTTGTTGTCACACAAATCATGCACACTACCATTATTTTTCTTTACCATTAATATGACTAAAGGTCTTGCAAAGTCTAACCGGAATGTTAGAGGACTTAAGCTTTATCCAGTGCTCGTTCTCAAAGCAACAAGCATGTCCAATCCTATGGGGAAGAAAGTCGAGCATATCATGTATCTCCTTTGGTTTATGTACCTTAAAACACAAAGTCAGAAAAACAAACCAGACAAGGAAACACCAAGAATAAAAGGCACAAGAAAAAATATCAACACACCTCTCCACAGTGAAGAGTTACATAAAGACCTTGTTCTCGAGCAAATTGCAATGCTGGCAAATATGTATTCCTGCAAAAGATAAAACTGGATTAAGCATCAATTTTTTTAAAAAAAAAAAATTAAAGTGAATTACTATACTGGAGTCCAAGATTGATCTGATATACCATTCACCCAGATACGGATTCCCGGAGAGGTCAATTCCAACAACCCCTAAATGCTTCATTTCCAGTGCAAGCATGACCTACAGCAAAGAAGCAAAGTGTTCAAAGATAGTATAAGAAACAGACTTAGGTTTGCCCAAAATACTTCTGCTTTATGGCTTACAGTTTCCATTGCCATTTCTGTTGTCTCCCTACGGTCGATGCTCAAGATAAGCTTAACAAAGATTTTTTTTCTAGTCTCTTCACTACATTTATCATTAGTGCCTGAAAGTAATGGATTTGAAAGAATTCTAGGCTCCTCGCTGGAAGGAATAAAAGCCACATCAACTGAATTGATAGCTCTTAGACCGTCAAGTACAGCTTCCATGTAAGAGCGTTTGCTCATTCCTTGCGAAACATTATTCTACATGGAATTAAGCAAGCATTTTCTTCATCAAATCAATGGAAACAAGCACACACACAAAATAACCAACTGAGCTCCAATAATTACCTTTGGAGTAGTTCTCAGCTCCAGATACACAACATTCTCTGATGCAAAATCTTCAACAACCTGCTCTCAGACATTGCTAGCATAAATGCAAAGGCAATAAATTCGGAATACTAAAATACGGATAGTGGGCACTAGGCAAGCAGAGACATACTTCTTTGGTAATCCTGGTAACACTCGCGTGATCTGTTGTAATAATGTGGATTAAGTCAAACAACTTGAATACCTCGTGTAATTTACGATCACCTGTATTTACATGCCATAATCAGTACAAAGCTTTAAAACACAAATATAACGTAAATATGGATCATTAAAATTGAACAGGGGAAGCAGATAAACAGCAAGAGGATTAAAGTAAAAAACTTAAGTAATCATGCCACGTTTTATCATCCTAGGAGCAAATTAAAAAGCTAGATAGTTCTACTCCTTTGTTTTCTCATCGAACAGCGCAACAAGCACAAATTCAAACGTCAAAATGAAATCCAAAATGAATATCAAGCACAGCAATGGTAAAGGGGGCACATTGAAAGACAAAAAGAGACAAACTTTTAAGGATAATATGCTCCACGCGGCGGAAATCTATGACACCCTTGTCAGCCAAAGCTCGAGCAAGTTCTCTGTGCAAGAAAAATACGAAAGCATAGTGGGAGTAAAGCATAGAGTTAAAATAAAAGGAGTAAACTTACATAAGCGTGAGGTATCTGATAGATCCATTGAGGTGAGCATGCAGTTCTATCTTTGGCATTGACAGCCACCACTCCATCTCTGCTTAGTGGCTAAGACACTCTTCCCCGTTTCTCGCACCCAAACTACTCTGTTCAGTTCAGAAATTCAGAATGCTCCCTCACTCAACAGTGCTTCACATTACTATTCGAAGGCTATCTCAATACCTCCTTTTATACTTTTTTTCATAAGAATAATGAAGCTGGAGAAAATTGCTTTTATTATTATTTAAAAGATAAAGGTGAGTTAGAATGTAAGGTATTTCCTAAAAAACATGCAAGATATATCATGTGCAACTAACTGAAAAGTGAACCTGATTTATTTAATCAAAGAATACAAATAATTTATAAACATTCATTTCCTCTAACTTATCAAAATGTCTTTTAAGAATAAAATTGTGCAACCTGTCAGCATTAAAGTGGACTATATTAAAATGCACTGATACTAATAATGTTGCGAAGTTGAACATAACAATTTAAATTTTAAGCTTTTACTGTTTTTATTTTTTTATAAATAAATAATAATAATTAATATTTTGTAAAATTTTATAATGAAAATGACTATTTTTTTTAAAAGGTGTTTTATATAAAGGATAAGAATAAATTATAATTTTATAGAGTTAGTCAATTAAAGTCTGATTCTAATTAAATTATATTTTATTTTCAAAAAATAGAAGCATATTTAATTAAATTATAATTTTTTTTATGAAAGAGGGAAGAAACACTTAACAAAAAAAATCACAATATTTATATTTTTTTAATGCAACAGAGTACTATTTTTCAAAAAATAATAACAAAATATCCATTTTTTATAATATCAATTTATCAAAATAATAATAGAAAATCATTGCATTGTCTCATTTTATTTAATAAAATAAACTATAAATGAAAATAAAAAAATTATTGTCCTATTTTTTAATATGACAATTTATTTGAAATAAAATAAAATATTCAAATTTATAATTATTTGAAAATACATACCAATTTTTTAAGTTTTAAATTTTATATTTATCAACTACTTTAATAACTAATTTTCTCAAATACCTTCTATTTAATTAACTAATTTGTCTGTTAATTTAATCAAACAAGTTTTAAAATTAGTCAAATAAATAAAAAAGCTAGCTTAAAATCTACATTTTATCTTGCCAAAATTGTGTTCAACAAAGAGAATGGATAAGTTAGAAAATTGAAACTTGGAAGTTAAAAGTCAATAAGTTGATTAAATTAACGCGTTTGCTTGGCCTGAACCCCTGGGTTCAAGAATATTGAACTGCACCTGGATTCTGAAACAGTGGTGGCAAACAAGTAACGTGCATGGCAAGTGGTCCAACTTGGATCAAATATATCACAGCATTAATGGAGGCAAACAAAGGTGCAGATTACCTAGCTTACCTGAGATGCAATCATGATCCTCATCCTCGTTTTGGGATGGGTCAAATGTTTCTCTCAGATGTCGAGTTTCTATTCGCAAGGCTGTGACAGTGTGGTGGTTTTTTTCTGCTTCGACCCATTTGATCAGTTACCCAAAAACTAGTATGGGTTTCTTAAGATTCAAAGTTGCACTAACTTATAGGTATAAAACAACATAAAAACCTAATCTTGAAATTTCATAGCTATATATATATATATTTCCAAATAATTATCACTTTTCACAGGCATGATTGTGTTATGAAGTGTAATTAATTGAAATCAAAATCATTTCATTAGTAAAAATCTTATTTGTATGTATGTTAAGGATTAAAGGTGTGTTTAAGTGTATAGTTTAGTTAAACACTTATTTAAAAAAAATTAAATGATAGATTATGTATAAATGTAATCATAAAATGTATTAAAATAAATTAAAGATAATTTATTTTAATAAATTATACCAATAAAATTATTAAAATATATTTTAAAATTTATTAAAATTATATATTATTTACAAAATCTTTTATATAACTCCTAAATGTAACGCTGGTTATTTAGTTGCGAAGCACTGAAAAGAATATGGACTATTGTGTTTTTTTTTTTCATAACTATCTTAACTTTTTTTTTTAACTGTCAGATTAAATTATGCCTCTCCGTTAAATTAGTTTTCTTATAGATAATTGATTTATTTTTCAAATGCCCTCAAAATCAATGTAATTTTAATTGTTTATAAAATTATTTAAGCCAAGTTTTAAAATATCTTCGAAACAAAATATAATCTCTTTAATATGTTTCCATTAATTTGTACCAATGATTTTTATTTTTTTTTAATTCTATTGCAGTATTAATATACAAATATTTATTATTATTATTATTATTGCAAAATAAAATAACTTAGATATATAAGTCTTTTCAATTTTAAACAAATACTTTTAATAAACAATAAAACATTAAATAATATCATAAAAAATTGACACTGCATTAATATTAAATTTCAAATTTCTGTTCTCTTTTATGTTCATTTTTTTTATTTTAACCTTGGAAATTATATAAAATATTTGAAAAACTGAAAAAAAGAAAACAAACAATGAGAATAAATAAATAATAACTAAACTTTTTCATACTAAATGAAGTGAATTAATTACATAAATTATACATGTATTTGACATGCATTAAGTATAAATAACCGATCATTTTTATTCGTACTTCTACTTAAGCTTGTCTCTCACATGCTCAATTTATCAAAGACAAAAATTCTGTAGTTCTCTACAGTATGATGGGAGAGAGTGACATTTTTTCATTTGGTTAAAAGACGGGGAATTGTGAGTATAAACGAGCTCATGAATTATTTAGATATAGTTTTCAAAAAAATAAACCAAGGACATTTATTTAGATAAATAAATAATTTTCCAATCTTTTTAATAATATACTTTTAAAAAGGTTGTGTTAGTTTTTATTATAAAATTATTTATAACGTTTATAAAATATTTATTATTTTTATTTTCTTCCATAAATAAAGTTGATAAAAATTTAAATTAAAATCAATAAGAATAAATGTTAACAGTGAGGTTAAGTTTAATAATATAAAACAAAAATAAAATTATCATATTATAATATTTAAAAACAACAAAATTGATTAAATTTACCTATTTTTATTGATCTGTGTAATTATAACCAAGTATTATAATATCAAAGAAAAACTTAAGTTATAAATAAGCAAATTAAACGAATAAAAGACAAGTTGTATATGTTTAGACTAAATCAAATTTACCTCGTTTAATAAATGGTAGAAATGAGGACAATAATTTTCTTTAACTACAAATCAAACTTGATGCTTAAACTCCAGACTTAGTTTTCACATTACCATATCTGGCTGTGCATGGAAGGACGTTAAGTTTTTTAATTTCTTCCTTTTCCATTTAGCAATGGTAAAACGTAGTATGCGTGACAATAAATTTTTAACTTAATTTACGCACCTACCATGTCAGTGTCAGTTGCTTCTTAATTATCTTTTTCATTGTTCATCCTCCACCATGCCCATCCAGGCATATTCTCACTGCCTGCATGTTACCCAAAGTCGCTTTCTTTATTATTTTTGCTGGTAAACAGTATACAATTATTGAAGAATGAATGAATCATTACCAAAATAAACAGGATAAAGAACGAATGGCTTGTTGTAAATTTAGCTATTAGCCTAGGAGTGGACATTAATTGTTAAAATATAGGCTTTGATTAGCAGATTAAATTTTATGTTCGGGATTTCAAAATTATTTTTTCAAAAACTTTTTACTGCATCTGTTGTATAAATCTTCATTTTGTTCAGTAGAATTCGATGATTATGGGGAAAAAAACCATGTTGATCAACCATTTGTGTGTTTTTTTATTTTTTGGTGGAATAAAACGCGCATTTGACTTAATATAATAAAAAAATTAACTGTTTTCTCATTTTTAATGCGGGTAACGACTTCTTGTCCTGTAAGGCTGTAACCAAACACAGTCTCATTTCTTTACATGATGTTTCGGACAAAAGATAAGGACATATTTATATGCATTAAATTTTGGGTCCTGTTAACTTTACAGTAATTTATTTGAGGAAAATAATAGATCTAATTTTTTTGTGACATTTGAAGTGAAGAAACATTCCACCTATTTATTTTCAACTCGATAAAATATATTTTTCAGATTTAAAAAAAATTATTTCTTTTATCCAAATAACGGTTAAGAGTTCCTTGACATGCTTATGTAATTTATCATAAACACTTGTAAAATTTAAAATAAACAACCACTGTATACTTAAATATTGTCAGTAAAGGTAGACAAATTTAACATAAAGTTAAGCCTCTTAAGCATGATAATCAAATTCTCAAACGTGTATACAATATATGAAAAGACCATAATTAAAAAAAGTAATTCGACTTCAGCAGTGTTTATTTTGGAAAATTATTACTAGTTGACTCTTGAAGAATATACTCTTAGACGTTCTAATTTAAAGTAATCATAATTTTGAGAGGATCAAACTAAGTTCGAAAAGACAAATACACAACTTAAAAAATTAATAATAATCCCTCTCGCACATCACAGTATTGTACATCAGTTGCTTCAAGTTTTGAAACCTAGCCAATTACAACAGCCATTTTTTCTGTTTACTGAATATGTTCATAGAAGAAAGCATAAAAGGTGCCCATCAACATCAGAGTCACAAAAACTAGTAACTGGTTGAAAGTATGGGTGGGTACCAATAGTTAACATTTTGCTACGCAAGTTGAAGACATCCCTTACAGTTGAGAGTAATTTGCTTCAGAGTTGGGAGTCCTACTTAGTATAGTTAGCAGGTAAAGTAATAATTTTCACGTGAAGCTAGCCAACTACCTTTATACTCTTTTTGAAGCCTTCTCTGTGTCCTCTTTGCTAGTTTTTGTATTTTTCATCATATGGGTTTAAAAAACATTTAAACGTAAATTCAGTGAAAAACCATAACGAATAATATTAAAATGAATATAAATTTATTACTATTTAAACATTATTTTCAGCCCACACTCAATTTAACATTAATAATGCGTTTCAACTTTCTTACGACACAGTACACCTAATTTTAAGACGAGATATAAGGAAATTAGTTAAAAAGTATTCAAGTAAAGTGATAGGATCTAATTAGGGGAAAAAATTAACTTCTAAGGCATAACATACGAGCTTACATGTTTATTAGTTATATTTTTAATTATAAATTTTTAATATGTGCTACATGTGTTAAGAAGAATTAAATATATCTTAGGCAGTAAATTTATAAAAAAACCTTTATAGAAAAAGAAATTGTATAAAAAATTGAATAAATTTTTTTTCATAAGTTAAAAATTATTTATACTCTCTATTTGTTGAGACATTATTTCATTTAATTCTTTGAAATTTTCAAAATATTATATTTTTTTAACTTATAAAAAATACTTTATTCATTTATTATATTTTTTTATAAATAATTTTCTATAAATTTATTTAAATTAAATTTAAATACTTTAAATTACAATAAAGTGTAAAACTATGATAATTAAATGAGTAATTAAAATTATATATTGACTAAAATATGAGGACGAAAATAAAATTAAGCCAACTTTTTTTATTTATAATTTAAATTTATTTTAAATAATGTTCTTAAATCTTGACAAAGTGTATAAATTAAAGATATTATTTTACGAAGTAATTTTTTAGGGGGTCCAAATCACTTGTATTTTCCGTTGGATCGGTGTGAATAAGGTAAAATTGTCGTGAACAACATAAACTCTTAAAAAAATGAAAATATTATAAGTTATACACTAAATAAAATAAGAAGCTAAAAAATGTTACTTAAATAATGAGATTTTCTACCTAATAAACAAATTTTCATATGCTTTAAAGAATGACGTGATATACAATATTTAAATATCCGTAGTAGAATGTGAGAATGATTCTATCCAAATATATGCAGATGCCATCCCACTCTCCTCACTACGCACGTGGATGGCCAAGTTCTTTGGAGGGTCATGTTCGCTAATTCGGTATAATTCGGTAACCGTCTTGTCTCTGATACACGAACACGATTTTCAAACTAGAGCAAATTATGAGGTTTATATTGGATGTTTGCGCGTGGATACAGAACATTCGATACGCAACTTGTATTTATTTCAAGCATGTCTTGAGTAATCATCAATGCGCTCGGAAAACCGAAGAGGAAGACTCTATGGTTGAACAGGAAGCTAATTAAAATGATATTCTCATCCAATTAACAAAAACACTGATAAGATTAAAATGTGGTAATCATATAAGTTAACTTTGTATTGTTATACATATATAAAAAGATGTTTCATTCAATTAAATTAAACGGGGTAGGTTGAAATGAGTGGAAGAACGAAATAGCATTGGTTAAGATTTTGAAGCATGAGGAAATGTGCATATATAATAAATATTTGATACAGTATGTCGTATATATAGGATAGATATCACCTTGACTTGACTTGTACAGTAGCAGAGACTCAAAGCGCAAAGGCAAATAGAGAGCAGAGGAAGCTTCCCAAATACCCTACAAAAAAGAGTCAAATCACTAATATTCTTTTTCATGCCTTACAGTAAACTACATATATATTCTCTTCCACGGAGTCGAATGATCAAGTGTAGTGATGAACTTAAACAGAAATGGATCTGGGGACAATAACTGCCTGTAGAGGGTTCTTCATGACAACAGTGAAAGCGAATTTCTCAGAGGGGTTTGGAGGGGCATTGGGAAGAGGCAACCATTGGAAAGCATGAACCATCTTAGCCAGTAACAAGTTTATATGCAAAATCCCAAGAGTCCACGCTGGACAAATCCTCCTCCCAATACCAAACGGCATCATCTTCACCCCTTTCGTTCCCGTAACGTCCACATCAACCCCATCCCCGCTCACGAACCTCTCGGGTCGGAACTCATTCGGATTCTCCCACATATTCGGATCCTCCGTCAACCACGCCGTGTAAAACTCCACACTCGCATCCTTGGGAATCGTGTACCCTCCCAGCTCCGTCTCCGCCGTGGCCGCGTGGGACAGCACAAAGTGACTGGGCGGGTGTCGCCGGAAAGTCTCCTTCACCACGGCGGAGAGATAAGGCATCTTCTCCACGTCACTCTCCGTGATCTTACCGTCCTTCCCCACACACTGCACAATCTCTCTATACAACCTCTCCTGAATCTCCTGATCCACCACCAAGTGAAACAGCGCCCACTCCACCGCCGTGGCGCTGGTGTCCGTGCCGGCGCTGATAACCTCAGACACCAGCGTCACAAGCTCCTCCTCCCCCAACCTGCCACGACCAGGCACCTCTAACCTAAAAAGCGAGTCGACGTAAGCAGCACCAACGGGACTGGCCATCTCAGCACCCCCTAACTTCCCCTCGCTGTCGACGAAAGCCTTCCTGCTTCTTATCAGCGGCGCCAAAAGCTCCACCTGCTTCTTCCTCAGCAGCCTGGCTTCCTTCAGCTGTCGCCGGAACAGCGGAGTGAGCACTGGCAAGAAGTCTGGAAGCTTGGGAAGCGTTATAAGCATGACGTCCTTGAGAATGCTCTCGATGCTCTTGATTCGTTCCTCTTCGATCTTTGCGCCGAAGCAGAGACAGATGAGGATGCTGCATATGGTGAGCCTGCAGTTGCTCATCACTTCCACGAACCCGTTTTCCCGGGCCTCTTGTTGGATCCTTCTCATGTGGGCCTCCATGGCCCATTTTCTGATCCAGCTGCACTGCTTTATCCTGAGCGGGGTGATCATCTCTGTCACGAAGTTCCGTCTGAGGGAGCGCCAGAGAGGGCCGTACTCGGCCGAGTTGATGGCGCACTTGCCCATGCTGAAGATGAGTCGGATGGGGGAGTCTTCGGGCCGGCTCGCGAACAATGGGCCTCGCTGGATTAGCGCTTCGTGAATGAGGTCCGCGCTGGTGACAATGATCAACGTGCGCTGGCCCATTTGCATGGTGAAGATTGGACCGTACTTTTTACGTAAGTCGCGGATGATGTAGATGAAGTGACGGCGTTGCAGGATGACTTGAAAAAGGTTTCCCACGACTGGCCACCCCGGCGGGCCTGGAGGGAGGTTCTTGGGCCCGGCACCGGTGGAGGAACAGCGGCGCCGCCACCACCGGAGGAACAGAAAGGCCAAGGCCAGCAGAATGAGGTCTGGTAGTTCCATGATAAGCTAAGAAGAGAGAATAGAGGAAAGTGAAGAGTGGGGTGGTGAATGAGGGTGGGTGCATCCCGACATATTATATAACATGAAAAAGGTGATAACATGTGTGAAGGGTAGTGAATGAGTTTGGTCTACCATGGTTAATTGTATTGAATAATTTGAGCAGACGTAATTACTGTGAGTACGGCTTGTTCAGGATCGTGACAGATATTCAACGGAGGAGCTGTGGTTTTCACGAGGGGCCATCTTTCTTTCTTTCTTTTCTACTTGTCCAGAAATTTGTAACTCTTCGTGTCTCCAAATTGAAAGAGATTTAGTTTTTTATAACCCAACTGACCAAACCATGAGATTCAGTCCATTTTTTCATTTTTATGCCCACAACAGTGTATTTAAAGCTATAAATTTATCTAACTGGTTAGACGCGGTCCAGTTGTAAATATTGCATTAAAAAATATAAAGATAAAAGCTCTCTATTTCATGCTTTATTTTCAATGGAAATGCTTTTTTTTATGCAATAATAGAAGTTTTGTGCTTATTTCTTTTATAATTATTAAACTCCTTTTATAAATCTAATATAATATACATGTTGTTTCAACAAAATCTTATTACTTTTAAAGATTAAGACTCGCAAAACTTATTTATATATTAAGTAGATAAAAACATAGATATAACTTCATTTTCCGAATCCTATCAATATTATATACTTTTATTTTATTAATGTATTTGATGTAAATAGAAATGATAGAAAGATAACATGAGGGATCCTCCATACAAAAGGGACTAGTCGAAAATATTTGTATTACTTAATTTTGATCTGGGTGTGGTAGTAATGGACAGGTGGGAGTTGAACAATTGGGTGGGAGTGCAGAGCAGTAATCAATAGCAAAATTCATGGATTTGGCATTGGACTGAGTGACCACTGTGTGCATTGCCCTCATTGGATTTTCGTGGACGTCTCGTCACTACATCATGTTTCTTCAGCGTGGGGGTTATGTACCTTAAATAGTATCATTTATGCACACTCCACATGTCCAGTTAAGCAGGGTACTCCCTTAGATTTTTAATTCGCTTTTAAGATCAATTTTAAACTAATAAATATAGTTTCAAAGTGTTAAATATTTTTAATTATTTCCAAAACAAATATAGATGTTTGTGCCCCATCCTCAACCAGAGGAGTTATTGGGTACACTTTCGAAATCTATATCAGATCATGAGTTCACCACAATAATTTGATAATCATTAATTTGTTACAACGCAAATAGCAGTAATATAATACAATAGTTTGTTTAATGTTCACTCTCTCGTCTAGTGACCCCTTTCTAATTTTCAACCATATTAAAGGTAAACTTCTCCCAAACTCTCTTTTGTTCTAATCTGTTCTTAGAGTTTTAATGATATCATCTACTGTTGAGAAAATTTCTCTTCCCACCATTGCATTAAGTCGTATAGTTCATAGCTAAAGTTTCTTTCCTTTTAGTTTAAATTTTCTCTTCCTTGTCGACATGATTACAGCTTCATTATATTATATTTTGCATTTCTCATTCTCCGTTATTAATAATGTAAATTTGTGAGGTACAATCAAATTGATATAGCAAAAATGTTAGTTAGTTGTGTGAGTATTTATATATACAACATATTGTAACTCATTGTCCATTTTTTTAATCATTCAAATAAATTTATTTTTACTAATTTTCTAAATTTCTCTCAAATTATTTCTTAGATTCTGTCATGTTTTCTAATTGAAAAAGGGTAAATCAGAGAGAGAAACCGTCACATATTACATACTAAAATAAACTAAAACATAATACAAATTAATTTCTTATGAAATAGGATATGACTTTTCAAAATAAAAAGAAAATAGCATAGCTTGCACATATTTAAAAACTAATATAATTTATCTTTTGAAATTATAAAATGTTAACTAATATCTATAAAGCAATAATTACAAATAAGTTCTAATATCCTTTTAATAAACAAAATATTAATCGTTTATTCTTTAATGAATATTCTTAAGATACTAATCAACATCACACTTTAAAATTTGGACGGTGGTGAATTCTTGTCCTGATGGTACTCGACCATCGCATGTCATTGTTTGTGCTTTATGGCAAGACAATGTCCCTTTTTTATTTTTCATTTTTTTTATTTTAAAGTCACAGATACATGAACAATATAAGAATAATAATATTATTTATTTATTAAATGATTTACAAAAATAAAATAATTGTTTACCTTTTTATATACTTAAATATAACGGTTTTTTTAATCTTTACTTTTAAAATTGAATTTAAACCTCTAAAAATAGTAATAAAGCTAAGAGGATTAGTGTTGAAAGAGTTTGTTTATCCATGACAGTATTAATCTTTTTTTAAAATTTATCCATTGAATTTTTTATTTATTGAGAAAATTTTAAATTTTTAAGAAAAGTAATTACTTTAATATCATTTGATACAACATATTAAAAAAAGTAAAAATATTATAAAATATATAATTATTTATCTAAGAGTATTAAATACACACTATTTTTAATGTGCTCACATCTTTTATTAAAATTTATTAAAAATTACAAAAATATATATTAAAAATATTAATGTATTTTACTAAAATGTTAATACATTTTATTAAATATGGTTAAATATATATTTTTTATTACATTTGAGATAGAGAAAGTATTAAAAAAGTATATTAAAAATTATTACAAGTATTTGTTTTACATATTTTTCAATGTACATCTAGAAATTAATGATACAAGACTAATAAATAAAAAATTTTAATTGAATTTTATATAATATTGAATGTTATTAATATATAAAAATAAATTTTCTACTGATATATTTATTGGCGGCTATCTTTTTGCAACATCCCATCTCATTTATTGGCTTCGCATTTGAAATTTTTGGACTATGATATATATATATATATATATATATATATATATATATTGTATAGTCTTTGTTGATATCCAATAACATTTGCCAAATGTTAATAATTGTCTAAGAACTCTAATTAACATAATGACACAAAATTTGTAATTGGCTGTCTGGACAAAGTTGTTTGTTGCGTGTCCTTCTTAAAGACTGTTAACAAATTTTTCGTCTGTCACTTGTCGAATTTAATCCGTTAACTTAATTCAGAAGACTTTAGTGATTTTGATATTCATGATATTAAAAGCTAGAATTAGATCAAACATAATTTAATTAATTGAGATAAATATTTTATGTCACTCACATTAAATAAAAACAAAGTAAAAAAACTATGTTATTTGAATTCCTATAATGAAAAAATAAAAGAAACAAGTTAAGGACATTTTTGTTTTAAAAAGTAAAAATATTAAAATGTGTTGGTTTGGTAATCTATTTTTATACATAGAATGTGATTCTTAATTCTTATAGTGAAAATATTTTTAATGTGCTATCTTAAATGAGAAGAGTTTTTAAGTATTAGTTCTCTTTTGTCATCATTATGTTATGTATTTTCCTTACATGATTAGTTATTTAATCTTTTAACTCAATTTTTATTTTATGATATATATATATATAATATCAATAATCAATATATACAATATTTATCTTTTCTAAATAATTATACCATATATAAGTTTTCATTTGAAAAAACATTTTAATTTAATAATAGTTATGAAAATTTCTATATCGTAAAAAAATCAAAGTTTATAAAATATCTTTGGGTAAGGTATAAGTTTTAATCGTGAAAATATAATTAGGGATGTATTTAAGTAAATTAATTAATTAAATATTTATTCAAAAAAATTATTATTGCATACAAACATGTGTCATGATTATTAAATTAATGAAATAAATATTTTTACCCTCTATCTTTCTCTTTGAAGACGTTAAAGACACAACTTGTATACACTTTATAGATTTTTAATCAAGGGTGAATTTTTTTATTCAGTTATATTTTCAGTATTTGACACTGTGATAAATATTTTAAACTCTTATATCAAAGACAAATGTTTACTCTTTATTGAAGAATACACTGAGCTTTGTCGAGTTTCTTGAAACTTTGAAAAAAAATATATATAATTTATTTAAAAAGTATTTTGATAAACAAATATCACAAATGGAATTTTAATGAAAAACTTGAAATAAATTAAATTTTGAAGTATTTTAAAATTTTTAAGGAAATTTATAACAATATTGTAAAATAGGAAAAATGTAGTATAATATATATCTCTATTAAAAAAGAAGAGTGTAGTTTATTTTAAAATTTTAATAAATATCTATTTTGGATTGTAGCTTTATTTGACCGGCATCCCAAACAATCTAAAATCACTAATTCTAATAACTCATTGATGATGCAGAAAGATGAAAATGGGCTTTTAACTCATAGATTCATAGTTGCCTACATCCACATATTAAGAATCAATTTGATATGCAAATTGGATGAATAGAACTAACCCAATACTAATGACGGGGGCGGTGGAGATCTCCATCTTAATTATAAAATATAACACAAACCGACTCCTGGGACTCAAAAACATCATACAGTTCTCTGTTCTTGGTTCATCGACTTAGGATGGTGACCATTTCTTCCAAAGTTCTCACTTTTAAATAAAAGGAAAATTAACTTTAATAAAACACACCTAAGAAGATTAACAACAAATCTTATGGTTAAACACTGGTGGGCTATCAATTTTCCCCTCCTTCAAATCATGCATACTTTCGTGTTTTTAGATAATTTCAGGGAAAAACAAGAAGACCCACAAAATGCTAGAGAAAAATAGAATAAATATACTTGATGTTGCATAGCGAAAACAAGATTAAGAAATGGGCAATATGAAAATCGAAACGAAGGATCAGAGATGAAAATAAAACAAACTAATATGAATCAACTATAACCTTGTCAGCTAAAAATGATAACAGGTAGAGTTTTGATAGGATATTATAGACTATAGTACCCATTTTAGTATTCACGTTTTAAAAAATTATCAATATCCAATGTATAACAATTTTTGTTTTCATTTTTCACAGCTATTTGATTACTAAATTCCTGTGCTCGTCTCTATTACTCGTAGGTCAGAAGAGGAAAGAAGGGAACGAGGCAAAGAAAACTGATGACTGATGTCTCAATAGAGAAGAGCAACTGAGCTGACGAAAAAATAAAATAAAAGTAATTATGCATTGAGGGAGGTAATGAAAATCCTAAATAGAAAAAGAATGAAGAAGTAGATAAGGAAACTAAATTTAAGTTTTCTTTAGTTAATAGTTAAAAAAAGAAATATGAAATTGAGTTTAAATTTTTTTATTATTTATCTTTTCAATAATTTATATGTTTGTATATATTTATTATGATTAGAACATGTATAACTATGGTCATATACTTATATATGCATTATCTAATTTAAATAGAGCATGTTTATTTCCTTTTTAAAAATAATTTTATTTTTTAAAATAAAATATAATACATATTTTATTTTTAAAAACAGTAGAGAAAAAAACATGTTCTAAACTTTTTCTCTCTATCTCTCTCTCTCTTTATTTGATAAAGTAAACGTTGAAGTGAAATTTTACAAATTTAATAAAACATAATGTAAGATATAAGATTTACTCCCTTTAAATCTTGCAATTGGAAGATCTTTCAACTAATTTAATATATTAATTATTATTCAAACCTAATACCTTATGCTTAAGATATTCCTTTAATGGCCCATAATGTTTTTTAAAACCATTAATTTTATAAATTACTAATTTACATTTTCTTTCATTGGCATCAAAGTGAATGATATTGTAAAAAGTAAAAAAATTTAAATGCGACTTTCGATTGTTTTTAGCTAGTTTTGACTAACAAAAAATATTATTTTAACAAGGTTAACTTCGGTTTCTTGTTGAAGAAAATTAATATGATTGTGGTCTGAATTATCTCAACTTTAATAACGTGGGAGCAGGTGTGTGAATGGTCCGGTTAGGAAGTTGAATTGTACTAGCGTAATTGTGAACCTTGAAACTTTTTTTTTTCAGCCAAATCAATTATTTGCAGATCAAAAAGTTTTTTTAAACCCTGAACACACAGGCACATACGGGATTGAAGAGTTGAACAAATCTTTATAAGTCTGAATGAAAATGCTAGATTGTTTTTATGAAAGACATAAACACTGCCCGTATATCATAAATTATTATAAGTGTAGCTGATAAAGTTCTACATCAGGGTTATACTTTTTTTTTTATTATTTATTTTGTCTCAAGTGTTTTGAACCAGTTTTTCTTGCTCTATCCTTCCTGATAAAATCGTTTCCTTATACTTAGCAAGGAATTGCTTGTACCAACTTGCTGACAATTTTGGAGTTCTCTTCAACGTGGCATAGTCCACATGGTGGAATCCATACCTTACAGTATATCCATATATCCACTCAAAGCTGTCAAGCAAGGTCCAGGCGAAGTATCCCCTCACATCTGCTCCTTTTCTGAAAGAGAGGGTTCTCCGGTGTTTGATTAGTGTCAAAGCAAACAGACATGATTAAGGTGTTCCAGCATTTGGCTAAAGAAAATTGCAGTAAGATGCTAGATGAACAAAATAGATAGCAGTCTAGTAAAAATTAGAATCCTTGCGGTTGGTTTTATGCTTTATACAGCTAGAATTTATGTTTTTCTTTTTAAAAAATCTTTACTCTTACCTTATTGCTGCTAACAGGGCCTCTATGTGATCCAGCATGTACTCTATTCTTTTAAAATCTTTAAGATGTTCGAAATTTGGATCATCTTCTTCGGGATACCCTATAAAATGTTTGGATTATCACCAATGTACAGAGAACTGACAAAAGGATAAAAAGCTTAATGGGTGTTGCTTACCATTTTCAGTAATGAACATAGGAGTATTGTTGTATCTATCTTTCACATAGGTAACAGTTTTCTCCATGCCTTCTGGGTAAATATTAAACCAACTAAATGGACTCTGCACGACATTGGAAGCTTCAGCATTGATGAAGCAAGATAGAGAAGGTGATCATCATTGTAATAAGTTTGAGGGTACTCACAGGTTCACCGATTGGGACACCTTTCTTTTCTCCACTTTTCATGTATGAACCCTCTGTTCTGGATGTCCCAAATCCTGCCTTACACGCTGAGTATATGCAATCTTGGACATAGAAAGCAGTGTAGTAATTGATGCCAATGAAATCCAATCCCTTCTTCAGTTTCTCTTTTTCGTTTTTGGAAAATTTTGGTAAGAGGCTTCCAAGAACGTTCTCCATCTCTACGGGGTACTTTCCAAATATGATGGGGTCCAAGAACCTGCATTAGAATAAGTGTTTGTAGTATATTAAGAGGGGGTTGAGAGAACAAATAGAAGAAGCTGTTAAAGGAGAACTATACCAATTGAAGGCGAACGATCTGGCTCTTTCAGTAGCCAATCTATCAGCTGTAGAATTGCTCTTTGGTTCGTACCATTCATGTTGAAGGACTATACCAATTTTTCCTTTTTGCTCAGTCTAATATTTCATCCACAAAGTTTTATCAAATAATTGGATTTTCCAAGTTTTCTTACGTTAGGTGTTGTAACAATTTCTTTCTTGTCACATTACCTGGTATTTGGTTCTGTAGACATCAACTGCAGCTGCATGGGACAGGATAATGTTATGGGCTGCTATAAAGGGCTCCTTTTCTGAATCCCCTTCTGTGCATTTTAACATTGCCAATGATCCAGAGCAACGGCATGGAGGAAATAAACCTGAACGGTAACCAAATGGCGCTAGGATATTCGGCTCGTTGAATGTGACCCAATACTTGACTCTATCACCAAAGGTTTTGAAACAGATGTCCGCATAAAAAGCAAAATCTTCCCTGCCCATCAAACATACAAATATGATTATCAAGAGCTTGTGTGTTCAATGTGGTATTGAAGCTTAGAAAACAGGTTGCTTACTGTAACTGAGGACTCAGCAAACTCCCATATCTGTCCTCCAGTTCTTGAGGAATGTCATAGTGACTAAGAGTCACAAAGGGTTGGATCCCTGTTGACAAAAGGAAGATGCATGTGGAATAAATGGAACCTCAATGGATGTTTACTCTCAAAGAAAAGAGTGATGTTAACAATACATGTTTTTTCCTCACTAACCTCACGTGTCAATAAAACAAATGCCTAAGAAAATGAAAAATTGGAAGTCACCTTTGAGTAGTAGAGTGTCAATTAGTCTGTTATAGAAGTCGATACCAGCATGGTTGACCTCTCCAAATCTACCCTCTGGTCACAATCATAAAAAACGAATCTATTTTACAATCTAAGTTGGAATCTTTATTTCACTTAGATAATAATGCAGAGAGGCATACTTGGTAGAATTCTTGCCCATGATATGGAGAGCCGGTAGCTGTTTACTTCCAAACCTTCCATTAGATCTATATCCTCCTGTGTTTTGATCCACAATGAAATTATGAAAATTGTAATTGCTTTTGCCTTGTACACCGAATTCAAATGCAAAAGGTTATCATGTTAGGCCCGCAGGATATAATATAAGTTTGAAGGAGAAGGGAGAAATACGTTGATTTGTGAGTTACAATATTATTTCGGGAATCGGGACTGTTATTATATTTAGGTATTTTTGTCTTATTTTTGATAAATTAACAAAAAATAGTTGATCAAATGGAAATAAATTGCAATCTCGAATAAATTTTACATGAAGTCACTACTTTTAGAGAGGACTTTGTCAATGTAACACTCTCGATCTAAGGGTTAGTCCTACATCCTATACCTGTGGAAATATTGATAAGAAAACAAAAGGGCAAATGCTATTTTCATTAATTTAAGAAATTTTCCTTATTTTTGAATCTTGGTTTTAGGAATTTATCTATGACGAGGTATTTATATTTTAGAAAATTTATAGTTGTTAAGGACTTATGGTTATGTATCGATTTAGAATTTAACTATGGTTTTTTTACCTTCGGATTATAAAGTCCTTTGAAATGTCTGCAATGCCAACATGATCAAATTATTGGCCGAGTTGTTAATAGAGCTATCCAAATAACTAGATAATTATTGTGAACAAGTTCACAATATCAGCTAGTATAAAATAAGATAATGAAGTTTTGCCTCAATTGAAGATCAAGAAAGCCTCACACCTTAATCAGAAGATTACATAATACCCATCATTAAAACCCCTATAATCAAACTAAAGCTTGCATGGGAGCTTCGAGTGACAAGGTAAGTTATTGTCGGTTCATAAAATCAAGTTAAGATAATATATTGGGCTTAGGTGTTGGCAGTTAATGGACTTTATGATAATTCAGAATGATTATTGACTTTTGTCATATCATAGACCCAAAAAAAAAAAAAGAGGGGGGGGGGGGGGTTGTCAAGGCACAAAAATATAACAGGGGATTCTGACAAAATGAAAAAACATAGGTGAGAATAAAGCTTTTTCTTTTAATGAGCAAAAAAAGAGTTGCGACTTTTTTAGTAGATAAAAAAAATGTTAAAACTTTTTCGTCACAGCGTATATGAAAAATATGGAACAAGGGTTAAATTTATGGAGGCAATAGTTAGCACGTTAACTATTTACTATATGGCACGAATCTTAATAAGAAAAAAAAAAAACTCTTCTTTTATTTTACAACGAAATATTGACGAATGGACTACCAGCAAAAATCAAATTTAAGATTCTTTAGTCCACACAAGTTGATTTTATTATCAACTAAGACTTCTACCTTTTATTGGTATACAAATATTATTGATTTTGATTTGGCCATTTTTTCGTACTTGAATAATAATATCATATCCAGTAAATTTAAACTCGCAAGATTTAATGTTTATATTGTACTTGTTTATTAGGCTACGGCCATCAAGTTCAATGTTTATTCATGATTTATATTATTTATTGAACATATTTCTATGAAATTATTTTCTCAATAACATTATTTATTTTTCTCACTTTTTTCTCTTTATTGTAAAATATGTGTGTGTGTATATATATATATATATATATATCTTTACCAAAGACTATTCAATTTTTCATATTAATTATTACTCACGTGGAGCGCATTGACCGTGCTGTATTATTTTAATATTTTAAACTAATTTTGATCTGGACTAGTGGGCAATTAGAAAAAAAAGAGAATGTGATAACTAATAATGAAAAAAAATTATATTTTAAATGTAATGAATTTTATAATTATTTAAAATTATCAACCCATTTTTATACTGTTCACACAATAAAAAAAATGAAGAGAGAGAAATTTAAATAACTTTCTGTCCTCTTAATATGGAGGTAATGTAAACACTGAAAAGTAAGGGATGAAAAAAATAGTTCACAATTATATATACTCGAAAAAACGAGTGGATGCTGAAACTAATCATACCATACCAGGTAGCGATGATAATGATCATTCGCAATATCCCCGTTGCTTCCATCGATTATTCTACTTCTACCTGCAAATAGTCATTTGATGAAATTGCAAGTTAATAATAATAAATCTGATTTCGTTGAACAGTCTACAACAATTATAAAATTGCAAGAAGTTTACAGAGATAAAAACATAGTTGTAAATATAATGACCGGGTCCGTGAGTGAAGTAATCCCAGTTGCTTAGCCCTTTGCCGTAACTCTTATAAGCACCTTCATACTGTAAAACATTAAGGAGGATAATATAGTCAGTGATGAAGCATCAAAACGAAGAGAAATAAGGAGGGAGAGGTGGAAAGTGAACCTGGTAAGAAGAAGAAGCAGTGCCGAAGAGGAAATTGTTGGGAAGTGGAGATAGATCCAAATCAGAGTCATTCGAGATTGAGAGAGCTGCAAACAGAGGAAGCAATAATATCACCTCAAACACAGTTTTCAGCAATGATGCGAAAGAAGGCTCCATTGCTAATTGTTGCTGTTACGCTTCTACGCGGACATCAACTATGGGTTCATATGTTCCATATGATATACGTGTTAAGCCCGTGCCACTCGTGGCTTTTTTTTTTTTCAATTGCACGAAGAAGTGGGGAAGTAATTTATTTTTTTCATGTAGGAAAAAAAAAAATTCCAAATTAGGGGACAGGAGTGACCTCTTTAATTTTTTTTGGTTTTATTTATGTTATTAAATAATTTTATATTAAAAAATCATGCTATGAAAATTTAAATTTTTTATTAATTATTATAAATAAATAATATAATTTTTTTTTCATTCATCTAAATAAATAGAGAGAATTTTTTTTTCTTATTTTTATTCATCCTAACAACAATTTTTTTTACGCAAATCTCATATATACCTTTTTTTCTATTTCATACCTTTTTCAAATTTTATTAATTTTTCTTTATATAAATTTTGTTTTTATATTTTTGTACACGTATAATTGTTCTATTTTTTAAATATAGCTTTTAATAACATTTTTTTTGTTATAAAATGAAACATACATATGTAATACTTATATGGATTTAATTATCTTAAAAACCTTTATTTTTATTAACTTTTATAAAATTAATAAAAATACATTTTTTATGTGTAAATATCATTGCTTATTTAAATACTATGCTATTGAAAAAATAATAATTTAACCCTTAAATTTTTTTTACTATAGATATATAATTATAAAAATGATAAGAAACATACGCGACCACTTTTTGATTTAGCATATGAAAATATAATCATATTGTAAGTGTTTTGACATTGTACAAATATTTGTAAATACAAGCTAAATGTAAAAATTATTTTAAAAAAATATTTTGTAAAAAATAATTTTACTTATAATAAAATAATATAAATTAAAAAATACATATACAATCTTAATTAACCATATCCGATTAAATTGCAATATAGATATAAAAGTAACATACTATTTATATAACTTTCTACTTATAATGCATTTAGTTTTGAATTATTTAATAAATAAAAAATAATTTTAATACTGTCAATATAAATTTTTTTACACAATCAATATATTAAAATACACAGTAAGTATGATTTTATATCAATTATTATAAAAGTAAAAAATTCTCACTTATATGACATAATAATATAAAATACTATTACATTTTCAATGTATTTCAATTAAATTCATAAACAAAATTACAATGTAGATTAAATTTGATATATTTTGAGTGTAAAAGGACAGTAAAAGTTGACATTTTAAATAAAAATATAGGTAGTAACAAATTATTTATTATTTTAAGCAAAAACTGCTAACAGAGAGGTTGTGAACTTTAATAGAGCATGGTTAAAACTTAAAAAGAATGTTTTGTTTTCACTTTATTTCTAAGCACAACTACGTTTATTAAATTCTAATTAAATAAATTTAAAAACGTTTAAATGAGTATTTCAATAAAAAATTCAAGAATGAAAAAAAAATTAAATTAGATATTTTAAACAAGTAATATTTAGAAATTCATATGAAAGAGTTAGTGTCACTTACGCACAAATTAGGTAGTACAGACTGTTGTAACTTCACTAATAATTTTAAGCTTTAATTTTAAAAATGTATTTACGTTAAAATTTAACGTAAATGCAATTACCTTAAAATTTGGTATACAAACAGAATAAGCATGACGTCTTTCTCCAAGCTTTTCATTCTAGGCTAGGCTCTGGACTTAATAAGGTTCTAAGTTTGGTATTTGTATTGAATTGTTTGTTCCAGTTTGGTATACAACAGAATGCCCTCGGTCCTGTTTTTCAATGAAATGCTTGTACCAATTTGCTGATAATTTTGGAGTTCTCTTCAGCGTGGCAAAATCAACATGGTGAAGTCCAAATCTCACTGTAAACCCGTATTTCCACTCAAAGTTGTCTAGCAAGGACCAGGCAAAGTAACCTCTCACATCAGCTCCTTCCCTAATCACATGACCAAGACAGAAATTCTCAGTTACTTGTGTCCAATGGTAAATAATGAATGGGATGGTTTATCTTTTCTTGTAAAAATATTTGTCTATTATCACATGGATATTTCTTCTATTTTATATATTCGTACCTCATGGCAGCCAATAGATTATCTAAGTGACCAGACATAAAATCTATTCTCTTAAAATCATTAAGATGTTCTTCCTCGGTAAGATCTGGATCATACAAATTGCCATATCCTACAAAAAGAAGTTGGGTAGTCAGAAATGCTGAGATACTTTAGGGTATGTTTGGTTTCCTTACCAAAAACAGTTTTCTATTTTTAAAAATAATTTATAACATAAATTTTATTTTTTAAAAATAGAAAATTGTTTTTAAAAGGAAAATAAAACATGTTCTAAGTAAAAGATGTAAGGGTTTCATGTGTTTTGCTTACCATTTTCGGTAATGAACATTGGAGTGTTATTATATCTATCCTTCAGATAGAGAATAGTTTCTTTCATGCCTCGTGGGTAAACATTGAGCCAATCAAATGGAGTCTACAAAACAATAGAAGTTTCAGAATCGGCTTGGTCATGCAAGGTTTTAATTATGAGAATCAGCTAAAAATGGTTGAAGTACTTACAAGATCTCCAATTGGGACACCATCTTTTAGTGCAGTTTGTAGATATGATCCTTCTGTTGTGGAGACTCCTGCCCCAGGTTCACACACTGATGATATGCAGTCGCGGACATAGTAACTTGCATAGTAGTTTATGCCAATGAAATCCAGTCCTCTCTTCAGTTTTGCTTTGTCATTAGATGAAAATTTTGGTAAGGTGGTTCCTAGAATCATCTCCATCTCTTTTGGGTACTTACCGAATAAGATTGGATCCAAGATCCTGCATTTTTATAGTTAAGTATTTATTTATATATGATAGAATCAAGTCTCATGCCAGCTGTGTGCGGGAATTAAATGAGCTATGAACAGTAAGGAAGTTTTACCAATTTATGGTGAATGATTGTGCTCTTTCAGTTGCCAATTTATCTGCTGCAGAATTGCTTAACGGTTCAAACCAGTCACAATGTAAGACAATGCCAATTTTTCCCCCTTGCTCAGTCTGGATATGATATGAATAATAAAGCAAGTTTATAATGTTTTGACTGAGTGTTCCCTACTCCTTTCCAGTTTCCACTTTAATTTGTAAAACTAGCATCGTAATTTATGACAGATTTGAGTTCCTTCTTAGAATGCTAAATCAGATTACCTGGTACTTGTTTCTGTAAATATTAACTGCAGCTGCATGCGATAGGATCATATTATGGGCTGCCACAAAGGGATCTTTCCCTGAATCTCCCTCACTGCAATCTCCAAATTCGCTAGAGCAGCGACATGGTGGGAACATACCTTTACGGTAAGCAAGTGGGACAATAAGATTTGGCTCATTGAAGGTGATCCAGTACTTGACTCTGTCACCAAAGGATTTAAAACAGATATCCGCAAAGAATATAAAATCTTCCCTGCATTTGCCAAACTATGTTCAGTCCATCGTCTAGTTTTTTCAGGTCCAAATCAGAACCTTCTAGAAGAACAATTGTTAAGTATGATGTTAATTCTTTAGTACATGAGTATGGCATCGGTAAAGAAATTGAGGTAAAATGAATTGGATAAGTAGTTACTTACTGTGATTGGGGACTTAGCCAGCTTCCATATCTTTCCTCAAGTTCTTGAGGGGTGTCAAAGTGAAATAGCGTTACAAACGGTTGGATCCCTGTGAATCGCACAGTTGAGAACAAATGCAAGTCAAAGAAATCCAAAAATTCTGTGTCTCGCAAGTCATAGGAAACTGGAAATCAAACCTTTAACTAGCAAGGCATCTATGAGTCTATTATAGTAGTTGATACCCGCCGAGTTGATTTCTCCAAATCTACCTTCTGTTCACAACCATAAATTCTACTTGTGAATTGCCTACGGTATACAAATACTTAGTATTTTCTAAGCTGATATCAGTCAGATTTTGTTGAAGCAAGAAGCATACTTGGTAGAATTCTCGCCCATGAAATTGAAAATCGGTAGCTGTTGACTTTGATAGCTTCCATTAGATCAATATCTTCCTGTTTTCATTACAAATTAGAATTGGTAACATCTATAACTTTGCTTTAAGACTAATAAAAAGTCATAATCGAATGCTTTTAAACCATTTTTTTTATTTGGTCAATGTCTGCATACCTTTATGATTCCATGGTTTAATATCTTGACTGATAAAGACTATAATTTTTGCCATTATTTAAACTTTTAATCTAGTATTAAGCGTTTTTATCTAATAGGTGACATTTATAGCAAGATTATAAGTTTAAATCTCTCGAGGGACGTGGAAGAGGGAGATTGTTGGATTTATTTGATTACCAATCCCTATAAAGCACTGAGAGAGTTCAAATTCTAAAATTTGTGAAGTTTACTTTTATATATATATAAGTAAAAAAAAAATTATATTAGTGTAAATTTAAAAAATTTTATACTCAATTTTAATATTTTATTTAATTTATGTTTAATGATCAATAAAATAATAAATTATAAACTTAAATGTAAATTTAAAGTTTAAGATTTTTAAATTTATTAGTGTAAAAAGATTTTATATATATATATATGAGGCTGGTTCTTTTTATATTGGTGTAAGTAAAAAAAATTTACATTTAATATAAGTTTTTTATTTAATTTACATTTAATAAATTATAATTTATTATTTTATTAATCGTTGGATTTAAATTAAATAAAAAATTCAAATTATAAAAGTTTTTAGACTGTATAGGAGAAATTACTTCAAATCTCTCTCTCTCTGTATATATATATCCCTTTAAGATTTACAATATTTTGACATATGTTATGATATGTGACGGCACCTGCAATTTTATATATCATTTTAAGAAATGTGGATTGTCGTTGTACTTATAAAATGATTTGCAAATATAATCTATAGAACTGAACTTCATGTGTACCAGATACCGATGGTATTGATCAACAGCCACATCACCATTACTTCCATCGTATGTACTACCTGCAATATATATTGAC